AAAATAAAATAAAGTTAGTTAATTAAAATAAAATTAATAAAATTTATATAATTAATAATTTTTTTTTAAAAAAATAAATAAAATAATAATAATAAAATTATTATATAAAATTATTATAAAAATAAAATAATAATTAATAAATATATTAAATATTTAAAAATAATTATAATATATTTATTAATAAATTTATAATAATATATTTTTTAATTTTTTAAATAAATTTAAAAATTTTAATTATTTAAATATAATTTTTTTTAATTTCTTTTTATATTTATATCATATATAAAATTTAAAATTTATTAATTTATATATTTATTAATTATTTATATAATATTTATTATTATTTTTTATTTTTTTATTAATTATTTTATTATTTTTTATAATAAATTTTTAATTTATTAAATATTAAAAATATTATAAAATAATTATAAAATAATTAAAATATATTAAGAAATAAATAATATATTTATAAAATATTTTTAATTAATTTTATTAATTTAAAACCCATTAGCGTAAGGCTGAGATAACTAGCGCAAGGCTAATAAAGCTTTACCTTTAACATACTAAAAATCTCTTGACACAAAACCTTAAGTAAACTTAAGGCATATTAAAAATCTCTCGACACAAAACCTTAAGTAAACTTAAAGCAAAGGCAATATATCCATCATCTCCTTTTGAGATTTCTCGGGAGTGAGTATATTCTCTTGTCAACTAGATGAAAATCATCACCAATCATTACACTTTGCATTAGGTATGTGCATATATTGTAAATATCTAATACTAGCCCACAGTACTTACATTATTAATACTTGGTTTTATACTTCTATATATTCCTTGTTGTTTCGTGCTCCTAATTATTCCTATCCACTGTAACTATACTTTCCTCCATACCAGAGGCGCCCGCTCTGGATGCAGTATCTGCAGAAGCAAGATCCAACCACTGTCTTCCCTAATGAGGTCCAAAACTCGTCTACGCGCAGCCTCGATGTTCTCACCCGAGTATTTCTTGACCGGGTCTACTCGCCACTGCCTGAATAGACCCACCATGAGAGCCACGAACTCGACCTGGGAGAACTTTTTGCCGGGACAATCGCGCGTGCCCTCGGACCATCCCAAGAAGACACCGCGTCGGTTCATGTCGATTTCCTCGTCGCCTGGCTTATTAGAACCCAGCCTGATCCAGCGGGAGGGACGCCACTCCAACGAATCAGGTCCCCAATACCTGGGATCTGTGTGCATAGAACCGTAACTAGGTAGTATTATAGTCTTCGCGGGCAGGTGTAAAGTTCTATCGCCCACAGTAAGCGTCGTGGCTTGGTCGCCAGTCCATTTAATGGCGGGAACAATAGTATAAAGACGTAGGGTTTCGTATAGTACCGACAAGCAACGTTTAAAACGTTGAAATTCAGTACGATAATCTATCTCGTGCGGCTGTCGACCTCCAAGGACGGATTGGATCTCCTCGGAAATCCAATCCTGGACTTGGGGGTTTGCCGCAAGAAAGTATAGGGCGAATGTTGAGCTGTGGGCTGTTGTATCATGACCGGCGAAGTTGAAGGTGAACATGTTACCGTATATTTCGCTCTCGGTCAGCCCCCCTGATTGGTCACTGGCAGCTTCTTGTGAGGCGCGGACCAACAGTGTCATAAGATTATTGTCTGAGTTCTCTTCACCAGCTGCAAAAGCACGCTTTTGTTCCTCGTACATGGTCGTCATGTGTTTCTGAAACGAGACGACAGCTTCGTTGACGGTCCTCAGCTTGGAAGGGAGCCAGTACCGGGCAAGAGACGCTAACGTCTTAGGACCGAGAGCTAAGATAACTATGAGGTTCTCTAGAATGAGACCTAATGACACTCTATAGCTCATAGATCGGATCTCGTCAACTGGTCTCTCCTCCTCATGGCCTCGAAACTTAAATGACTTGCCAAAGCCGGCTCGAGCAAGCACGTTGAGCGTGAGAGTGCGAATATCTTCAGCGCCAGATTTGACGCAAGTCTTGGAGGACCAATAACGGAGCATATCATCCGAGAGGCCGAGGGTTTCGTACCATACAATCTCATTGTTCGCCTCATTAAAGCAGCGAGTTGCGACTCTCCGCTGCATCTTCCATGATTGACCCTCTGCACAAGATATATTTGGACCGAATACACCAAGAACATCGTTTACCCAACATGGTCTGGGGAAGTCTACAGCCCTCTTGAAGACGCTCATAGTAGCTTCTGGGTCGTTTAGTTGAACCATGTTGTACTGGGGCGTCACAAGAACAAAGACATCTCCCATCTCATAATGAGATTTCCATCTATCTTCTAGGTCCCATCCACGCCAATTGTAGCGAGTGGTGGTGTTCTCTCCAACGTACGGCAAGCGGCGGAGAAGAAAGACAATTTTACGGTCGACAAGAGTCCAGAATGGATTGAAAGGACTGAAGGGTATGACACGTATGGGAATGCCAATTGAGCGAGCGGCCAAATAGTTTTGCAATATAGACCAGACCCAGCTAGTGAAGTACGCAGTCACCACGAGCGGGATTAGTGCTATTAGCACCGTAAACCAAGACATTATAGAAATAATTGAAGTAGCGTAGGGGGTTTTGGCTGGGCAACAAAGTGTAGCAAGTTTCATATAGGAATGGAGGAAGGAAGAAGAAGGAGAGGAAAAATAAGGAGATAGTAGCAGTAAGGGGGTGAGAGCAATTTCCAGGTCTGCAGGATACGGATAAGTGCATGTATGTACCTAATGTATCAGGTAAGTATAGGTACGTAAGGTAAGGAGGTAGATTTCTCATGTAGGCTGTTACAGTTACCTACATATGTAGGTTTCCTAAGGTTGTGTTACCAACATATATAATCCTAAAAGCCTTGTTGGTCCCGACCTACCGGTAAGAGGTACCTTAGGAGATACCTAGGTACATGTAGGTATATGTAGGTTAGGTAAGTTACCTACCTAAATTAATGTCGAAACTTCAAACCCACCACACCAGCGGGCGGATCCGGCGTGCAAAAGATATCGGCACAAAGGTACCTAGGGATCGTTAAGCTTCCTCTCTCTGTGAGCTTTTTTTTTTTCATTTTTTTTTTAGCTCCTATGTCTGTCAGCAGCATGAGGAAGATAGGCATTTCAAATGCCTTCCGAAGCAGGTTATGAGGCAATGCCCCCATCACTTACTTATTAGTTCTTATTAACAGGTAGTTAGAATATAAAACCCAAAGGAATGAACTTTTGCTTTATTCAAAGTTATATGGAAAATTTACTTTGTGTCTAACCTACTCTACCACTACTACTTTTATATTTCTATCACTTTCAACAGTGCAGTTATTATGAGTTCAATGCTGTTTGTAAAAAATAATACGATTTGCTCCCGTCCCTATGAGGGTCATGCATTAGCTATCTCGGATAATACGTTGCCTTATCATTCCTTCTTCAAGCAATGGTCCACCGGCTTCATACTGGGGCTATTGCTACTATTCTGCTTTACCTACATCTCTTCCTCTACTAGATTCCAAAAAGCTTTGTATGACGACAACGCCAGGGAAGTACCACTTGTGCCTTACTGGATCCCTGGAGTCTTCCACGCTTTTGCACTCTGGGACCCTGCCGCCTTTGCTTTCAGATTGAGGTACCCACTCAACTTCATACCATCGTGACTTCAGATACTAACGTCTTCCAAGTAAAAGGTACGGTTCTAGGAAACCATTACAGGTTAAGGCCGGCTGGCTCCGGTTCTTCCTATTATCAGAGCCTGAGCATGTCAAGGCTTTGTTTCGAAATTCGAGACATACCACGAACACAGCCACCGTTGCCTTCACATTGCGGAACCTGGTAGACCTTCCAGATGAGACTGTCTCTCTCTACCTTGATGACCGCTCAGGAGCCGGACTGAAGCCTCGAAAAGACAGCAATGTACTCCCCGAGCGCCGGATAACCTTTCTTGTATCCCATAACTTGCACATGTTTCTATCTTCTTGCCACCTCGACGGTATAAGTAGGCGGTATTCCACTATGCTTCATCGCCAAATTAATGATATAGATATCCAAAGTGAATGGGTATCATTGCCGAATCTTTTCAATTTCTTGCAGCGTACTACTCTCGTTTCTGAGATAGAGGCTTTGTTCGGCTTGAAGCTATTGGAGTTAAACCCCAGGTTCATTGATGACCTACTCATCTTCACGCAACACGTACCTGACTTTCTCCGTCTACGGCCTTGGTGGCTTAACCCACAAGCATATCGGGCACGTAGGCGGCTCATTCAATATGTCAAACAATGGCACGAATATGCGCGGAAGCATGTAGACTTCGCAGATATCTTAGACGAAGACCCAGACTGGGAGCCATTTTGGGGTTCGAAACTCATGAGAGTTAGGCAACAGTACGAACACAAAACAATGGCAATGAACTCGGATGCTCGAGCTTGCGAGGATGTTGGCTTAATATGGGCGTACGTAAATGTACTCTTAGGTCTTACTCTTTGCGGCTCATGTTCTAACAAGGCTCTTCCCATAGGTCAACCACAAATGTCCAGAATACAGTGTTCTGGCTGTTTTTCGAGGTGCTCCGAGATCCAGATCTTCAAATGCGGCTGATGAAAGAGATTTCGGAATGTAAAACAACTAATGGCGAAGACGACACCACCGGCTTCGACATGAAGAAGCTCACAAATCAACCATTACTACAATCCACATATGCTGAGGTGCTGCGTTTGTATGTGGCCGTGGCTATCAGTCGCATCGCTGGGTACGAGGATATCAAAATCGATGATTATATGATTCCGCAAGATAGCCTCATAATGACTTATAGCCGGGCTATGGCGCTGGATACCGACGCATGGATACGAGCAGGGAGAACGTTAAACAAGCCTCTCGACGAGTTCGATGCCGAGCGCTTTTTGGTCGATTCAGGTTGGACGCGCCCGGGACTAACCCCCGCAGTAGTCATAAAGGATGATGGGAAGCGCCGATTTTCTACAGATGGCTTACTGGGTCTGTGGGTCCCTTACGGCGGTGGGGATCACATGTGTCCCGGACGTCACCTAGCCAAGCAACAGATGTTGGTAACGTTTGCACTACTGCTTTCGGAGTTTGACATAGAAATATCTGCCACTAAGGTAGAGCCGGACATGAGGTTCGCACCCTTTGGTTCCTTACCGCCAAAGAACATGACTGGGTTCCGTATTAGGAGAAAGCAACAGGTAGCTAATTAACCTAAAATGCTGTCAGACATAAATGTCTGTCCGACATATAAAATGTATGTAATAGAATAAAATTTATTACCAAATGACCTTTTAATGGTGTAGTGGTGGTAGTGGTATGCTGACAAACGCCTAGGTGTCACTACTTTTCGGCGAGGTGTAAATAAAGTAAGCAACCCCTGTCACCTTAATTAATCGGTGTGCTAGGTATCGCTATCCCACTTGCTTGGCCACTTGCTTGGCATGCAGTTGCTCGATGCTTTCTGCTGACAGACACTTCGCTAGGTATTTCATTCTCAGTTTTGAGCCCAGAAAATAAGCGATTTCATAATGATAACATCAACTCTTATATATTTCATTAGTACTGCCACAATTTTTTTAAACCAATTAGATATTTAAAATCGCCTTGCAGTTCGCGACTTTTTCTTTTGTTATTCTATCGTATAAGGTTTGTAAAAAGTGCAAATAATATAAAAATATTATACAAAACGCGCTCTATCTAACAATACTAATTATCAAAACTTTTATCCAAAAATAAAGCAATTTAATTAATTTTACAAAAAATTCATCGGATGTGCGCTGGTATGTGGCTAGTCAATCAAAGGCCAAATCTATTTATGGCGTGAGTTTTGCCTTCCCTTTCTCCCGTACGCGTTTGCGCGGACGGGTAACGCAACTAGTTATATTACCTTGCACTAACATGTATTAAACATACGATTATATATAACGTTTTAATTAAGCATCGGGTTCTTGTTGTTCAGTTGACATGTTATGAGTAAGTCTAGGTTAGGTACTTAAAAGCCTTTTATTTTAAATAACTAACGTATTAATATAAAGGTAGGTTACCTAATGTATCCACGTAGCTACATGCACCCGGCCTTTACATATTCTTCCTTTTAAAACATAGGTAGCCAATTATCCTGCGCTCTTCTCTCTAATTATAGTACGACGTACGTTTGATTGCTAAAGCAAAATATCTTGCCCTATTAACGTGCTTTAGAAGATAGTATCAGGAGAGGATGGGTTATAAAAAGCCATATTCGTTTTGTTACATATGCAAATACTGACCATAATGTATAATACCGAGATGATGGAAATAACTACCTTTTTGGTCAGTACTATCTTTTTTTCGACACCACCCACCTTTCCTTTCCCTACTTGTTGAAGTCTAAGATATTAAAGAATGGGAACTTACGCGTAAATAAGAAAGGGGGAAACCCGCTCATCTTCCCCACGAAGTGGATTGTCGGCAACGATATCATAGCCATGAACAGAGTTGTTATGGAAATCTGAGGGGAGTCTTGAACTACCAACTTCATTGGAATACCCTCATTGTTGGTAGTATTTCTCAATGCCTGGTGCTGGGTGATGTCTCGCAGGCTTGTGGGCGCACCTTGTTGGAAATGCATGATGTACTAAAGTAGGTAGACTTGAAGATAGGGAGTTGCCGCGCAAGTAGTCAGAGTCAATAGATAAAGAGGACGCGTATATGTATAGATAAGTAGGTTAGGTACCTAGGTAGGTAGGTATGTATGATAAAATGATAGAGTGGCTTAAAACTAGATGGACTACTCAAATATATTTAATAATTATCAAACTCCAAACAAAATAGTCATTTCAGCTTACTGAAATACCAAACTTCCATTTCTACGAAATCCCGTATGCTTCCCCAAGCCCGTATCAGGATAGACTATGTTGGACGAAATGTCAGAGTGGTGCAAGAAATAAGACTCAGCCCCCAAATGTGTGAACAGAGGGTAAGGCGCTTCCAAACTGCTTCGGCAACTAATTCCAATCTCAATATCCCGATTACTGCTACTCCCTTGCATTACATCCTACATTTGTCTTTTATTTGACAAAGGCTTCGAAGAGGTTTGAGACAAGGCTGAACTGGTGTAACCTCACGATGCAATTATGCATGTCGCAGTCAGACTTGTATGTATATCAGGTACCTAAGATATGGACTTAAGTATGGTAGGATTTTTCATTAAGGCGCCAGGCGCTTTCTAGCCGTGTTGGTGCTACTACCCTCACCTATAGATAGGTAGACAGTTTTCGTATCACATACAAAATGTAACATTAATTCAGCCCCCAAATCCCACCCCACTTGACACATCCTAGCAATATATACCTTGTATACCTTGTGTTCGTGAATCCCATATTACATGTCTATACTCTTCATTGGCTTAATATGCCTACCCCTAACATTTCCTCATTATTAAGTTGCAACGTTACGAAGGGAAAACTACCTAGGTACCTATATGAAAGAGGTACTGTAACTACCGCCATATGGACCTAATATAGTTCACAATATACATATGATACTCTCATAATTACTGTTGCAAAATTATTTGATACGATGAATTAGAGAAACTATCTAAGTCCTCGGCGGCTTATTTGATCTCGAATTCGAAGTGTTGGGTGATCCGGTTCTCGGGGCTTACGACTGTATTCTGCGACGTTGTACCAATGTACGTATGAGTTCCGGGTATCGTGCCAGGACCACGCGGAACAAGTATAGGGTCTTCCTCGGGGCTATTCGCCTGAAAGACTATACTCCCATATCCCAACTCGGGGTCGGTGTCACGAACGTGACTATTGTTGACGACCGTAGTACTGCAGTAGCTGTCAAATTCGCCTCTGCTATTCTGAGACACCTCTGTGAGGTCAAGCCAAGTGGTTTCATTTCCACTATGCTGCTGCTTCCGCGAGGAACGGATTCGTGACATCATGCGAAGGTATGTCTCGGATGGGGAGAAATGGGGCTTCTTAGAGCTACACGTTGATGCAGTAAAAAGCTGCGGAAAGGCAGACCCACAGCACACCATGATAGCTTTTTCTTTTTAGTATGATACCGTAGTGTAGTGCGCAAATCAAACGTATAGCGAAACAGTGAGAGACTAAAACGTACCAACGGATGGCTCAATGGCACTCCAGAACCAGAGCCAAGTAACATCAGGATTGCCATCGGGTCGTCTTTCTGAATCTACCATGACCGCCCTAACTATGGCAACGACTATAGTAATGATAGAGAGCGAAAAAAGTCCAATGAGTGCCAGTTTCTTAGACCACCTTATCTGAGTATTCCATACCAGGATTGTAGGGAGAAGCATGACTGTAAAAAGAATTAAAGAGTCAGCAAGCCTTTACTCAAGACGAAAAGGAAGATATACGAACTCATAAAATCAGTAAAAACATCTAGGGCAGCATTAGCCTTGAGGGTTGCTGACGTGAATGCGATCTCATGCTCCTGCTGGCACACTCCAGTGATTTGCTCGATGGTCCCGACGAGGCACTTATAGTCGACGTTTCCGACAGCGCTGGAATAGCTTCCGGAGGTGACGATAAGCACTGGCCACCAGATGTACTTGAAGTGGGCTATCCCGCTACCCAAGCGGCGAAAGAAGAGGAGAAACGATAGCTTAATGGAAAACAAGGCTGTATAGAAGAAGAGTTCGGCAATGAGCGACGCATTTAGCCAGTTTCTGAGGCTAACCATGTATGTGTTCGGATTATAGACGTCCAACGCAGCCTGTACATTCATGATATAGTACATGTCCGTAGCCGCCCATTGCCATAACGCGGCAACGGCCAGGCTCAAAACCCAGGGAAAAATTACAAGGCCGTCATCCCAGAAGAGACGATGAGGCCCTTGAAAACGTGAAAAGAGACGACAGCCCAGCGTGATGCCCGACACGGTGACTAAAGCCCACATAGTGATAATATAGGTAGTATATGGGACTGCAGGTGGAGGCATCACAACTAATTGCCCGTTGGTACTCATTTTAATAAGATTGTAGAGTATAGTGATAAAGAGATGGAAGATAAGAAAACTACCAGTTAGAAAGGGGATATATCATGGAAGAAAGTAGCCAGAATTAATTATAATATAAAGCTACGATATCGAAGAAGAGACGTGCCAATGGTGATAGACAAGAGAAGGGAGGAGAGGAGGGTGTACGATAAGTTAGCCTAATCGTGAATGTAGTAAGAATAAAGTCACGCCTCGTTGTTAGGTCAACCATCTTAGAAGATGCATGGTGTTGGAGGTGATAACAGTAGACACTATGCTCTCCGACAGCAAGTAAGATTTTAGTTGTAGCATATTGCAGTAGCGATTCCGGGTTCATTGGTGCCGAGATCTACCTCTAGATTAGATACATGAGGCTCAGCTTCATGAGAGAATTATGCAATATGGATCTATTATGAATATTATTGGCTATACCTATCGGATAGCGTTGCAGACGTACGACACCACATGCTAAAATGAGAGTTAATATTAGGTAGTTACCTAACATATGTAAGTCGTCGGTAGCCGAGCCGGCCATTTGCACGGCTCGGCCCGTATTCAAAAAATATGTGCATACGGATCTAATGCCAAGTGCACCGCCCTTCTTGGCCTCATTTGAATGATTATCTCATAACATGTCTCTGAATATGTACCTACATGTAGAGAGTACTGCTGGGGTACTTCCAATCTACTTCATAGGTAGGAAAGGGATATTGCTCCCTACCTAGGTAGATGAATATAGGTTGCCTAAATACATATTCAGGAAATATGAGATCAAAAACATGGTCCCAATAGTATCTGCACACTCATTTTGTCCATAGCCTACCTACATTCTCTCCATCCTCCCTCTTAGCCAACTATCATATCCTAAGAGGCCATGGCCAGACAGTACGTAAACCAAGAAGAGGAGCAGTATGATGAAAGTGCGGTAAGAGACCATGATAACTCGCCATCTTTGCCATCATTACCATCTACACGTCTCTTCGCCATCATAGGTGGCCTTTGCCTAGGCACTTTCTTGTTTGGTCTTGACCTTAATATCATTGGGGTCGCCATACCTCCAATTACCACCGAGTTTCGCTCGCTAGCAGATGTTGCCTGGTATGGCTCGGCCTATATGCTTACCCTAACTGCGTTCCAACCTTTATTCGGCAATCTGAATAAGTTTTTTAACCCCAAGGTGGTATATATGATATCATTGTCGATATTCGAAGGTGCGTTTATTAGAAACAGCAATTGAAGGAAAGAATTTAGAGTGGAATTAAGAGATATTAGAAACGAAACTAACACACGTATTTGCAGTTGGATCGATCATCTCGGCTGCGGCACCCCGGTCCGATGTTCTCATCGTCGGACGTGCTATTCTGGGCCTCGGAGCGGCCGGTCTGCTTCAAGGGGCACTCGCTATAATCGGACTTGTCGTTGCTGTTGACAAGGTTCCTCTTTACATCGGAATTGTGGTCAGTTCCATGGCCTTGAGCGTCTGTTGTGGCCCAGTCATTGGCGGTGCTCTTACCGAGTTTATTGGTTGGCGTAAGTCTTTTCTGGAGAACATACTTAGATCAAAAAAAGATCGATGTTTAATGGTCTAATCCGCTGACTCCTTTTCATATAGGATGGTGCTTTTGGATGTAAGTATCTCTCTCTTAACCCTATTTACACTGTGTGGACTTTTTTCTACGTCCTTCCTCGTCACATATAATAAAATTTGACACAGAAATGTTCCGGCCGGTGCCTGCGTCCTGATCATAATTTTCTTCTTTGTCAATATCTCAGGATCGTCCTTGAATCAGACTACTCGAAACCTATCCATATATGAGAAGATCCGACACATGGACTTCGTGGGCCTCATCCTCTTCCTTGGCTCAATATGTTGTCTTCTGCTCGTGCTTACCTGGGGCGGCCAGGCGTACCCTTGGAATAATGGTCGCATCATTGGTTTATTCGTCGTTTTCGGAGTCTTAACGGTTGGCTTGATCTTCTGGTTAGTGAAACGCAAGGATCTCGCTCTTATTCCACTTAGGGTTCTCAGGAACCGAACTATTTATATGGGCTCGATAACACTCGTCGGTTATGGTATCATCTCTGTGGTTGTGAGTATCTGTCTACGGTCGGGGAGAGTTGACGGTGGAGATATGATAGTCTCCTTTTGGCTACTAATTCCTTTTCTTAGTATGGCTATTACCTCCCGATTTTGTTTCAGTCAGTTCAGGGAGTATCCACCACCGAGAGTGGAATACGATATATCGCACTTGTCGGCCCACAGATTTGTGCTATTGTCGTCACGGGTGCGTTGGTTTCGCAGTGGGGATACTATGTAAGTATAACCTGAAGAGCAAGCACATACCTTACAAGTTACTGATTGTACTTTCTCCCTTCCCTAGGTACCATATATGATAGCTGGTGGAGCGCTCTGTTGCATCGGATCAGGACTTCTCGCTACTGTTGACTTAACCACTCCTACTGTGGAATGGGCCGCATATCTAGTAATAATCGGGCTCGGGCTCGGTATGGCAGCTCAGATTCCATATACAGCCTTGCAAGCTGTTCTAGAGTATGTTAGAATAATGCAAGTATTAAATGAAGAATACACTAATAAGGGGCCATATAGACCTGAAGATGTCGCCACCGGCAATGGTTTGTTCATAGCTCCTTGGTTCATCTTACTCTAACAAAAGGCTAACTTAGTGAAAGCAATCGCTGTATTCTCTTTTCATCTTGCTGGGTATGTTGTCATATTCTATTAGCTACACGATTTAGTTTTAAAGTAACCAGAAAAACCAGTGCCATTGGGACAGCTATCGGTCAAACACTGTTGATTGACGGACTCAATGTCGCGGTTCCTCAGTACACCGACGGACTTGTATCTCCCGCCGCCGTGATACAAGCAGGTGCTACGGGGTTGGCCACCGTAGCCGCCGGGGATATACAACTCCTTCAAGATCTACGCTGGGCCTATGGCATAGCAGTACGCCGAACTATCATTCTTGGTCTTGCAGGTGCCTGTCTAACCGTCCCGGCATCGTGCGCCATGGAGTGGTTAAATATTAAGCGGGTAGCGGAGGAAAGAGAGCACCGTGCTGAAAATTCGGCTGACAACCCTTTTTCTTCGACAGAAGCGGAGAAGGCTGAAAAGGGAGCTCCTGAGTGCCAGGTTATCTTAGGGTGTTCATCTTTAAACGAAGGGTAGAGAGTGAGAAAGGTCGAGGGAAATCGAATGTCAGCAATTTGCACAAAATTATCATAAGGGAGACGCGAGGGTAGTGTTTCTTTTTCTCAGTAATGGTTAATTAACAGTTATTTACATTTAATAAAAGTGTTTCAAACAGTAATCTCATTTATAATATCATGAAAAATGGCAAATTACCAGGTACGTATAATGGATACAATTCTATTATCTTAAGTTGGATAGTTTGATGACCTTGTAACTTGGAAAATAGGTAGTTTAAAGATTTCTAATAGTTTACTAAATACATGCTTTTATACGAAATATATTTTTATGGCTAATAAAATGCATGGTGTTTGGAAATAACACTTAAGGTAGTATTCACCTGGTATATATCTTCCTAACTTTCAGGTAAGGAGGGTAAGTACATAGCCATATTTCTTATTAGTGTAGTTCGGGTACTATATACCTAGGTAGGTTACGGTAGCTTTATCATAAGTTCAAGATAGTATTGCTTATGAATGCCCAACCAACAAACATATATGTACCTAAGGTCATGTAGTTATAAGACACAGTCCCTCAGCACCACCTCACCGTGCCAAGGTGGGATGTGAAACTGCGCCGCATGTAAGAAGCCGCATAAATCACTGGGGGCTACTTGTAAGTCGCATCGAATTACTAAGAGGTACCTATACGTAGTGAGACTTGAGGTCCCCGATATAAGAATAAGTGAAAGATTGATATTCAATCGCCAACTCTTACAAAACAACTCTTGATTATTCTCAGGAGAACCTTACTCTAGAGGTCAACTTGCCTAAGGAACCTAAACGATATGCCATCTACTCTCGTCTTCGTAGCTTTAGGCGTTGCAGCCATATACGGATTTCTTCAATTCGCCTTGAACTTGACGCAGGATGCGCGTGAGCCACCGTTGGCCGAGAGGTCCATACCCTTCTTAAGTCCTATAATGGGTATCATCAAATATAAAACGCTTTACTACAACCGCATCAGGTTCTCTTCATAACTAGCCTTGTTGGTGAGGTCTAACTCTGACAAAGTGAATAGGAAAGAGGGTAATCGACTCCCAATCTATACCTTACGTCTCCCTAAAATACGGGCATACATCATCAATGCCACGGAGCTAATCCCGATATTGCAACGACAATGGCGAACTATCAGCTTTACGCCGATCATGGCAAGCGCAGGCCACACAGCCCTAGGCATGAGCCAGGCTGGCACAGATATCCTCCAGAGGGATATCACTAGTGATAGAAATTCTGTCGTTGGGTTGATGCCAATAATGGCACGCGTGATGGCACCTGGGCCTTCGCTCGATTCCATGGTTTAAACAGCAGTCAAGGTCATGGCTAATAGCATAAATAAACTGGAGCAAGGCAATGCGGCTTACACCAAAATCAAGCTGTACGAATGGACGCGCCATGAAATACTCATGGCAACAACTGAGGCAGTCTTTGGGCCAAAAAACCCTTACCGAGATCCTGTTGTTGAATCTGCCTGGAGGTAAGTATAAGGCCAGTGATAGAAATTATACACCCAGCATTTCTTCTGCTTACCTACTCTCTCTTTAACAGAATTTTCGAACCATCTTACCTCTCCATCGCCCTCTCCCCCCTCAAGCCCCTCACTTCTCCCAAGGCATTTCAAGCTCGTGAAGTTCTCGCCATGTCTTTCGTGTCTTACCTTAAGAACAACGGGCCCGAAACTGCGTCAGATTTCATCCGCGCTGCACACACCCACCACGTCTCTTATGGCTTCACTACCGAAGACCTAGCACGTTTTGAGATCGGGCATACGCACGCTATCAACGGGTCTACGGCTCCGACCACGTGGTGGCTTCTTTGGCATCTCTATTCAGATCCGGCTGTGTTGAGTGAAGTGAGGGAGGAATTGGAGAGATTGGTCGTTGATACCTCTGATCCCTATGTCGAAAAGACGAGAACTTTGGATCTATCACTCCTCCCCACGCACGCTCCTGTACTCCACAGCACCCTCAAGGAGACTCTCCGCTTCCGAACCATGGCTGCGGCCGTCCGCCTTTGTCTTGAGGACCATCTACTTGACGGAAAGTATCTTCTGAAAAAGGGGGGACTGGTCATCGTACCGCAGCCGTTACACCATTCGTCCACTTCAGCTTGGGGAGAGGACGTTGAACGTTTTAATCACCGTAGGTTTATACTGGGAAGTGTAGAAGCAGGAAGGGAAAATGGGTCGAATAAAAGAAAGGCGTATGACAGAGCAGCATTCCTTGCATTCGGCGGGGGCCATACATTATGTCCAGGTCGACACTTCTCGACGATTGAGATCTTAGCTTTTGTGGCGATGATGGTGTTGAAATTTGATGTTGAGCCAGCGATAGGGGACAGATGGGTAGAACCGAAATGGGAGAGGACACCCATGATGGCATCCTTACAGATCCCAGACGAAGATATAGAGGTTAAGGTCAGAGCGCGGGATAATGATGGAAGGCGGTGGCGTTTTATTGGTCGAGGAGACTGAAATGGCAATGACTATTTAGGTACCTCTCAGCTTTTAAGTATGCTTTTACATATTTTACAATATATTTTAAAGACAAATTAGAAATCTCTTATTTATAACAATATTGTCCGGCCGATTTTAAGAATTTGCAGTCAACACTTCTTGTTTCGAAGTTGACTCAGTAGGTTTGATTACTAAAATTGATGCTGGAACGACTATTAAAACTATATCGTCTTTATGTATTGTAGCCTATGACCTAATTGTTCGTGAAATAGCTACTGGGATTTCGATTGTTTCTTCAAGCAGTGTGTTAACATATACCCGGAGCAAGCAGTGAGCGAAATAGTTTGCCAAGTCTAAACACTAGTGTAGCTGGTTGGAATTCTTGCATATGATGGCCAAGAACGACGAAGCTAGGCAAATAATAAAGGATAGAAATAGGAGGAACTTAGAGTTATGGGGGAGTCGAAGATCAGCTAATTGAGATCAAAACGCCGAGTACCCGTCAACTACACGAATTCGTTACTATTGTTGATTCCTTAGGTAACTCTTCTTTTGAGATTAATGACGACTTATTTTATCTCGATAGGCTAGTAGCCAGTTTTGATGTTTATTAATATAATATCATTAGAGTACTTATTTTATCTAATATGGAAAAGATTCTACTAACCGCTATTCTTTTCATCGTGGTTCCTAGAAACCATACTTCTTAATACATGATGTAATGGATAGTAGCCTCAACAAGAGGTACGTAAGGTAGGTACCTATGCTAACAACTAGAGTCTATTCATCTCCATCAGCGCTTCATCTCCTTAATTACCTCTCATAATTCTAAGAGTCACATAAAATGTAACTTTAGCCAATCAGAGTTGTGCTCTGGTCTGAAATTAAAGTCCTACAGTACGTGCCCCCCGTGGATAGTCTTATTAACTCGGCCTAACTTCCATCCGCGTGTCGCATTTTGTCGGATTCGCACCAACAAGCCAATAGCAGAAGAGTAAAAGCCGCATTTCTAAGACCCATGAAGATCTAAGCCTCGATTGCTACGTACCAGGCTATCAGAACCAACTTCCTTTCACGTTGCTTCTCGTCCCCCAAAACAGCGAAGGATCTAATTCATAACTTTACATAAGTGGTTAAAACTCAACACCGCCGTGGCCAAGACTATAATCGTTGGATATGCTGCGTAAGACTTTCTCTATCATGCATCCGAAGACTCGCATTCGCATGTACGCACTACGGCTTGCTCAGTTTCAAGTAATTAGGAGATAAGGAGTATGATGATCATAGAGTTGAGATAGTAAGCTGGAAATCATATAAGAAGTCCATGCGTGCGACATGATACTGAATTTGAAGATGCATCGAGTCACAACACCATCACACAACTTGCTAAGTTCACTATCATGTCTTTCAGATACCACCTTATAATTGCTCTTGCCACCGGTCAGCTTGTCAAATCACAGGCTGAGTATGACTGTTGTCCTCCGCCAGACTCCAACCCATTAACTTGGGGATTTTATTGCACTCCAGAAGTTCAGCAGCCCACGGGACTCGACGTTGAGGGTACCATTCCTACTTGGCTGACAGGGTCGCTATACCGTGGAGCCTCTGCCACCTGGGATGTTGGCAACTTCACGGCTGAGCACTGGTTCGACGGATTCAGTCGCAATCATCGCTTCGAAATTGCCGACGGAAAGGTCACCTACCGTAGTCGTAATGCATCCGACGAGCTGATGGACTTTATTCAGGAAACGGGACGTTACCCGGGGGGGTCTTTCGGTGTCGACCCTTGCAAGGTCATCTTTGGTGCCCTCGAAACCAAATTTAGGAACCGCACCTACAGCCCAGGCGATAAAAGTACAAATAACGTCAACGTGGCCTGGATACCTAACTATCCTGGTCTTGAGCGTAATACAACAAGTGAAGGCGGCCCCTTTTTGACTCTTGCCATGACTACCGAGGGTAATCCTCTACAACAGATAGACCCAGTCACACTTGAGCCTATCGAGCTCTTTACCTACTCTGCCGCTGATTCATCTGACGAGGGGGTGCTAGGGACTGATGGTGGGCGCCTAGCAGCTCACCCGGCCCACGGCTCTGATGGATCAGTCTATAATTACGTACTTGACACATCATCCAGTCCCCTCGCCTACAAGATCTTCGGCGTCGGCCCAACAGGAGAAGTAAGCGTACTCGCAACCATCACCGACGCACCGCCCGCCTACATACACACTTTATTCAGCACCGAAAACTACCTCATACTTATAGTTTGGCAAGCCGATTTCAAACAAGACGGTACCAACCTCCTGAGTAGGCTTGGTCCTTGGGATCCTAACCGAAAGACCCTCTTCTACGTGGTACCTAAAACCGGAGGCGGCGTGACCTCCAAGTATATTTCGGACGACGCATTCTTTGCTTTTCATCAAGTAAACAGCTTTGAAGATAAATCAGGAGCCATCAATCTTGATCTACCGCGCATGGAAAACTTAGATTTCCTGTCAGCAGCACGCATTGCGAACCTCAGGGCGAACCTCGGAACCAAGGAAGGTGCCTCTTCGAAGAATGATGTTGCTGCAACTTTCACCCGGTATAGATTGCCCGCCCATCGGAATTTCTCGATACCCATCAACAACAATTCGTCACTGGAGACTTATCCTGCCGAGAGGGTATTCAGTCTTCCCTATGCTGAGGCTAATATTGAACTCGCGAGAATCAATGAAGCATACTCGGGGAAGCCATACAGGTATACCTGGGGTGTCCATGTGGAGAAGCCAGGATATTTCATCGACTCGCTGATCAAAGTGGATACACATAATAGGGAGTGGAAGATCTGGTCTCCAGCCAAAGAGCATGTCCCGTCCGAGCCTATTTTTGTACCAGCTCCAGAGGCTACAGCTGAGGATGACGGTGTATTACTATTCACTGCCTTGGATTCGGCTGCGAGGAAGAGCTCCCTGGTTGTTTTGAACGCCACTACGATGGAGGAGATGGGAAGGGCCAGAATGCCTATTGTCATGGGCTATGGGTTCCACGGAGTCTGGGGTAAAGATATGTAACGGGGCTCATTCTGAGCATTACTACCTTTCGTACACTACTTGTTTTACTCTATCAATAAGTATCGCTCATTTAACTGCGGCTTACTACTTATAGGGTCAAACTTTATTTCATATCTACTTATTAAGGATGAAGGTAGGGCTAGCTATGTTACTCTATTTACCCACCTAAAACACTCGTTAGATAGCCAGTTATAACTTACTCTCCTAGACATACAATATATTGTTACCATACTTATACCATATCTTCACTCGGTGACGCTCGATACGGTGCATTGCCCCTAAGCCTCTATATGGCTCATCAACCCCATACGAACCGTGACACTACTTGTGATTTTGATATTCCGTACTGTATGTGTCAGAAAGAACCCTTGATTAGGGTCACAAGTAGAGTGAATGTTAGCATGGTGTAGTTGAACTACTGACGCCTGCCCTCCTATCCTGTTTCGAGGGCGCTGCATGCCTATTGTATATAGGGAGGTAGGTACCTATCCAATCATAGTAGATCTACTCCTAACTTACAAGACATAGTACTACTTGTCACGTTACTTCGACATCAGGCGTATATATATTCCCTGATCTCATTTGACTCATGTTACCTTGGATAGATGACTTGTTTATATAGGTATTTATACTATCTAAGAATTCAAAAGAATGGATAGAGTTGGCCTAATGAGAAAGTCTAATCAAAATACCTGTTAAATGACCGTGTGCCATTGAAACAATTCCTGAATGTGATACATCTTCCCCAGGACCAGCCTATGCATTACCTGCAGTTCATTAAATGGAATTAAGACCCATTGTAAGAACCGGTAATCGTTATTCAAACTATTTTATGCGCATAATCCCGTGGACATGATGGAATTTCTGAGAGTACAAAACAAAAAAAGAAAAATCAAATCCCTAAGTCGTAACTTTCCTATCTCGTTACTAGGCTCTCCTTTGACACAATATCGTAGTATTCAATAAGAGTACTCTCATCAATAAATGTGCTTGTAGAGCTGAGAATAGTCATTCTATTATTTATCAGAGCCAATAAATGCTATCATTTGATATCTTACATACCTCTGTCAACTGATAGTTTCCATATACCTTATAGGTACTGTGTCGCATTTCGATGCGGTACCCACCACGTCCAAATATACTCTTCAGTTCGCCTGAGAGCCGTGCGGGATCAACGTTGCGTGTTGAGACGGCAAAAAGGTGTTGCATTGTGGCGCTTATGTATGTAATTTTGAGTCGGTATACTATTCTGCGATGTAAAATGTAATTGTAACTAGTTGAGCATCTGTAGAAGCAAGAAGGCGACGGTTCCTCGATTGTGAAACTTGTTGATGGCTTTTTGACGACAAAACTCAATATCGGTCCCCTACTATCTAAAAAGAAAAATCAAGATTGATGGCTATGTCTAAGAATACTAAGCCTTAGCCACCACCATATGAATTTGGTACACCTCTTTGGAGAATGTTGTCCAATTGAAATGAGGCCCGATATACGTTGATACTTATGCTCGAGGGGCCGAATGATACGCTCATGCATAATATCTCACACTCTGCGGAGGCTAAAAGTCTTGGGTCAGACAAAATCAGCCCGTGGCTGGCTGTCCGTATCACCTTCAAGTTTTCTTCTCACAATTAAGAGGTAAAAGGTTGAGAGGATATGAGCCTTGGTGGTGGCTTAAAAGTCAGCATAGGCCGTCACAACCTCGTTATTTCCGAAGCCACTTGGTATTTAAGGCCAAGATAGACCTTTCTTTGGAGTGGCAGCAATTCCTTAGGCTTGTATATTCTTATTAGTCTATAGGCCGCACGAAGCTGAGCCGAAATGGAGATCCAATCATACCAAAATAAAAATCTACCTAGTGGTGAAGCTGTATTCATCTACCATTTAGCCAATCACACGAATTTCTCTAATCTATACCTTTTAGGCCATTGTCGACCCATCTGAAATAACACAGTTTGTCAGTTATCAGTTATATTAGGTACTTTGCAGTCTCAGGCTAACAACTGGTAGATCAACCAGCGGGAGTCAGAGCGAAGTCCTCTGAGTGAGAGTGCTTTTACTCGACCCGACGACTTCGCTGTGATTGTGAATCCTCCCAGTGATGCTACAAATAATCAGGATGCCAAGTCGGATGCGTCTTGGATCGGGCATTCATATCCTAGCACTATTAACGATAGGGGTAATAGCGAGAGACTTCGGGATAATCGAGAAGATCTTTTTCGGTACTCAGAACTGCCTGAATCACAGGAACGCACAGTCGCGGGGACAGGTAGTTGGTCAGAAACCAACGAGCAAGATAATATGGCGAAACAACTACGAGACGCCATGATTGATTCTGCAGATGGTAAAAAATTCCTTCCTTTGGACAAACTGGACATGATTGTCACAGAGAAAGCAGTCCACAACCAGCTTTCTCGTAGTCATGAACACATTTCTGCCCAGCGCATCTGCCAGAGACAAGAGATAATCGAAAACGATAGGACGCAATATACATCATACCAAAAGATTTTTGCGATCTTGGTTCTCATGGGCGAGGTTCAGCTTATGCCTGACTTCTTGGACGAGGGAATAAAAGATTGGGATTTACCTTTGAAGCCATGGAATACCCGAGGGAGTACCTTCCTTGTTGCAAGACACAATGAAGAGGATCCCGGGCCATTATATCGGCTACAGACAGCTAATAACTGGTCGGCAAGTCAGATTGACTTTTTCCAAAGTCAACAATGGATTGTATGTGCCACATTCTTTTCTAGAGCAGAGCATCTAGGAGAAAAGGTTCACTTATACCAGCTAAGTCCCCACGATGTACTCCCCTTTATTAAGCCGGGGACGGATGATCGTGGAAATCCCGCATATCTAAACCAGGGTTTCTTTTCCACTGTTCGACGTGTGAAGATTCACCCAGCACACCATAATTTCCCAATTCATAAAGTAAGATCATACAGTCTCAATCTCCGATAACCTTATTCAACTAAGGCCAGTTAAGGAATAGGCTCGACTAATAACTTCAAAGGATAATCTAGGAGCTGATTTCGCCGTCAAGGAGATCATTAGGGTATGGGATGAGAATGAGAAACAGGGCGACCCTAAGGACTACAGAAAGAGCTTTGACCAAGAAGTTCAAGCATTGAAACGCTTTTGCCAAAGGAACGAGCGATACATTGTGAAGTTATGTATGTCCAGTTCGCATTATTCTTATTATGTTCTGCCTTAGGCCATATCCCCCTAGATCCATCAACAGACCACTACTCATGAGTCGTATTTTGAATTTTCTTTAATTATTTCCTCGGGTGGTAGTTACTCGAACAATGACTAACTCCTATTATTTAAGTGGCTACTTACGAAATTAACGGCAAATATTATCTCCTTTTCCCGGCAGCAGATGGGAATCTTATGAACAACTGGGAAGAAAACCCAGAACCAAAAGGAATACCAGCATTATGGCTTGCACAGGAGTGCTTGGGTATTGCACAAGCCTTACACAAAATCCACAAGTATACATATACACCACCGGGTGTAGCAACTTCATTACTCGGGTCCCAGCACATACCAAACCATGGTATACATGGTGATATAAAACCACAAAATATTCTCTGGTTTAAAAGACTTCCAAGTCATCTCATAGATGACACGCGCAACACAGACAGTGTATCTCAAGTGACTGATTCTTCTGGTCTTGGATTTTTGCAAATCTCTGACTTCGGCACCGTCAAATTCCATCGATATATGTCAATGAGAGGCAACGATATATTGGTCAGGGGTAATACATACCGAGCACCCGAATCTGATCTTCCAGGAAATAGGGGCTCTCCAGCGATTGACATTTGGGCATTTGGATGTCTCTATCTTGATTTAATTACATGGTATGTCCGGGGTGGCAAGAGCGTCTGCAACGATTTCCCCCTGGCTCGTTCAGCAGACGAGCCCAAGCAATTGATTGAAGGTTTCGCCGGCGATGACAAGTTCTACATTACAAAGAGTGAGCTACTTACGGGACGACAATTTCATATGGTGAAGCCGAGGGTCTCGGAGGTAGGCATTTACCCAACCATCTTTCTCCTCATCTGAATAACGGTGAAATAAAACATAAATATAAAACTACGAAAGACGTTGCCCAACTAATATGTCTATAGTGGATCATGCACCTCCGAAGAGAGCCACGGTGCTCTCAGTTTATACATGATTTCCTGGACTTTGTTGAAACGTAAATGTTAATCATTGACCCAGAGGAGAGATGCAGATGTCCTGTAGTAGTTAATACACTACAGCGGTTTCTACAAAGGTGTATCAAGAACCAAGATTACTACGGCACCGGAAGGCCTCATACATGGATAAATCCAAGGTCTAACTTCATGCTATTGAAAGCGAAGGTGAGACAATTTGCACAGCTTATCGACTCCCATGGTCAAATAGTCGCACTCATACTTGCTGTGGTTGTTTCAGCTAGTTTATCCTGGTAACAATAGGTATTTCTTATATTGATATATGGAAAAATGTATATTAAAGGCGTTTACGTGGTTCCAGATCTCCTACTCCAGCCCTAGTTTTAACAGGGGAACCCATATATAATTCTTTATGAATTTCAGAGAAGGCCATCAGTCCTGACTTTCGTAATGCTTCTTAGCCTGTGTTTTGATCCACTCATATTGCGCCTACTAATGAGTCAGAATAAAAATGCTATAAGGTAGGTACCTATTGAGGGTAATATCTGACAGCACTCAGCCCAGGATCGGGGACCCAGACCTGATATACCCCGTGAGCGGCGGTCTATAAGTCCAATTAGTCTGTTACTGATGATGATTGGAATCATCGCCGTGTTTTAAGGCGTACTGACTGGTTCTGAAAATTGATTGCCGCTTAAAATTTGCCTCAAGGCTGCCTTAAGTTTGCCTTTATCTATATAATCTATATTGAAGTTGTGGTAAGGCATTGTGTACCTCACAATATGGGACATATTGCTGTGCGGATTCAAATATTTCATTTCAGGGGTGTCGAATAAATAAGCATGATTATTTCTAAGACTACATAAGTACCCAACCTACGTATTCGAACTATTCTTTGCAGAGCCTCATCTTGTCCAGTATGTCACCCGATAAGGAAGAGTCAGAAACTCCGCAGCCTACTTCAAAGTCCGATGCGTATGGGTAGTACCAACCACTAATGCTCTTGTCTTCCCCCAAGTTTATATGCAAATTACATCATCCCACCAAAGCCTCCTGTAACTATAAGTGGTTGTTGATAAGCACTACTTAATAATTGGATGGGTGACTATAGCGCAAGACAACACAATCTCGATGGCCCCGCCAGGCGCTCCGTACGGCAGATTTTCTCGCCCAGAATTGCATATTTTGGAGGAATCCCATTGTGACTAAGACTTACGCCGAGGATTACTATTGATTCGAAAATATAGGTAGGCAGGTAGTCGAGAAGGAATACGAATGCAATGTGATTGACAAATCTATTCACCAGCCTCGACAATTCTCAACCCCTTTTTCTTATCAAATACTACGGTACATTATGGATTGGGTTAGACAACGATGGAGGTTGTCTGATGGAGACTTAGGTAATTTTGAATACGCAAACCGAAAATGCAAGGTCATACGATTGAGTTATGATGATCAGGTAAGACTTAAACAGAATGTTCGCAAAAAGAAAGTCTCTCTAAGAAGTTAATTTAACGGTTTAGAGGCAAAGTAAAGTCCAGTTTTGGGATCTATCGTCAGATTTTGAATGGCAGGATTGGTTCGAAAAGGTTGCATGTAAATTCCATTTCAATAGCTCTCGCTAATAAATAAAACTATAGGAGAAACTTGTATCTGAGAACTCTCGCAACTTTACTACATCCGTGATGTGAGGCTCCCCCGCAACGACGAGATATAGCTTGCATCTAATATCTTAATAAGACTAGGAAGCCAAAAAGAAAGTGATTGTGAATTGAGCTATTTACCCTTCTCTAAACCAGTCTTCGAACATATTCTACGCCGATTCTTCATTCATGACTCGATAGCCAGAACAATTTTTCGCAATTATGCAGCGACATTCTCACGGACATATCTTCCAATTCAACATTCCTCGGGAACTGCGATAGGTAAATGGTATCATAAATGGTGTAGATGAGATCTTAATATATTAACTACAGTGTAGTATATAACTGCCGCTCATCGGCTCACTGGGAAGACGACCTAGCGCTATCCGTGACATATTTTCCCAGTACTGGGCGCACCTATGCCGTCTTCTACGGTTGTAATGCTCATTCTACAAGGAAAAAAAATCATGGAGAGGATCTCTAATCGATTCATTAAAAGCTCAGAAGACGCATTTTGCCACCCAATGCTTTCAGTTGGCATATTTGCTGAGATCGAGAGACTTCGAATGCGCGAGCTTGTTTTATCTAGGAAGACTGCCTTGCAGGATACTATTGATGGACTCCAAGCTCACGGTTACAGAGCACTAGAGAACTCAAAGTCTTATGTTGATCCTTGGCTAAACATATACGCAATCAGGAATGGCCTTGAATGCTGGATCGGAATTCTGGCTAGTATGATTACCCATGTAGATGAATTGGGCCGAGCGTATGATCAGATCAACGACGAAAGCAACTTTTACAACACAGGTCGTCGAATCAAAGATCGTCTGACTGAAATTCATTCTGAGTACCTGGATTTGATAAGGGATTGTAACATGATTATCGATGGAATGACTCTGGCTACAAATATGGTCCTCTTCCTACCCTTGCTTCTAAACGCCAATCTGGAAATAATATAGCTAACATATGGTTAGGCGCTTGCAAGAGACAACATGAGCGAAAGCAAGCAAATGAAATCAATTGCTGTAGTAACTATGGTCTTTCTTCCTGCCACCTTTGTTGCAGTAAGTATTTACCTACCCCTTAACGGAGGGGGTTATTCTTACACGAAGTTACTAGACATTGTTCTCTATGACCTTTTTTGATCTCGATTCGAGTCATATCTGGCTATACCCCTGTGTTGCAATTCCCCTGACGATTTTGGTTGTTGGCATATACATTTTTGTCGTAGTTCGGCCGCGGTGGAAGCAAACCCGAAAGCCTCCTCATTTTGGTACTGAATATGACGAAAAGGGGCAAAATGGTAGATCATGTTGCTGGGTTTAAGTAACTTCTATTTAATAGTAAGAGAAACTAGGAGAAACAAACTAGAATATTTACTCAATACATTCCAGTTTAGGAGCCTGCATTTCAAATTATTTCTATCAAATATCTAACTTCATGGTGTGGGTATTTTACCTCTAACGTAACGCGTCGCCTTTGCATTTATTCTCCACGTCACATCTCGAAGAAGAGAGAATTAAGAAACTTGAAAGCAGAGCAAATATTGCATCTACTACTCCCAACCCTCTCTTAGGTGACGATCCAACCGTATTCACCCAAAGAAGTTGAGGGGCTAACCTCTCGTTTGTGATGGTAAAGTCGTTGCTTGCCAATGCGGCCACAATCTCTGGCGCTATATTGGCCGCGTACGGGAATCCTTTCTCCAAACTAGCGCGGTCAGTCGCATCTGTACCTTCAAGTCGCTTACAGATATCAGGTTTCTTTTTCTGCTCTTCAAGGAATATAGGGGTAATCTAGTTGCGGGCAAAGATGTATTGTACGACATAGGATGACTTCGGGCCAGGGTATCTCATAGTTTCCATCCTCGTTGTGTCTGGCGCTGTGCTTTGACTTTACATCACGAGGTTCCTGACCAAGATTTCCTTCGGGTACTTAAAGTAGTCATAATTATGTTGTGATTCACGTCCCAAATTCTACATTAATCAGACATGACGACTATACATTAGGTACCTAGATAAGAGGTACCTAATGTACCAAGGAGACAGTCATGAATATGTCACAGTCACTACCTAAGATGAGACAGAAAAGCATTGAATAGGTAATTGTGAAAGTATCTGGTGAGAAATCTTTCCAAAGACGTGTGAATGAAAGGTTCACTCGTATCAATGTCAATCGATGTAGAACGAAGCACTATCCGCATCGAAATATTTAAACAGAAATGGAATCCACTGCAACCTGGAACTCTACATCCACCATTATCTCTACAGCCATCAAGGCCAACAAAACAACTACCAATCAGCAATCAAGCATACAGAGGATATTCCCAAGCTTCCTAGCCAAAGTTTATACCTAAGACGACCGTTACCCTTACATCGTGTACCCCTTCGCGACTCGCCGGCGATGGACCAAAACAACACCAACTGGCTATATCCAACCCCAGCGGATATATTGTATCTAAGACCCAGCCTTGGGTTTCTAACCTGTGGCTCAAAAATTCAGAAAATTCTTCGTCCGATTCTGATAAGACACCTCTTAGATATGGGTAATATCGAGAATGGCATTGTGAAATCGAGGAATCCATTTCAGGGTCATATTAAAAATCGAATCTTCGATTGGGCCGCGTCTTCTCACCGAGATGCAATTTGGATTCAAGGCCCTGACAAGGCGTCACACCCTAGCCAAAATACCTTGACAGCTATGTTCATTAAGGCACTGTCAAAAGATCTTGAGACCCCGTGCGTATATTACTTCTGCTCTCTCAGAGCTCATGGCGTACCTCTTGGCCAGAATAGCTCATCATCGCTCTCTTGTCAGGAGTTGCTATTGGAAATGGTCAAGTCCATCGTTGCACAACTTGCCAATTTCCTAGACGAGGACTTAATGATAGGAGTCGATCCGTCCATCGCGTGTATCGTCGATTTGATCAATCCTGAAGCAGATATCAGCGTTGCGCTGGAAAAATTAAGGGAGATTCGAAGACTTGTTCCGATTCGCCTTCACTGCATTATTGAAGGGGTCCAGTTCCTGGAGGACGAGAGTAACTTGTGCCATACAGGAAACCTCCAGCGTACGCTTCACGAACTTTCGAACATCTCAACACCCCCGCCGTCTAAGTTCCTAGGGGGAGCATGGATTACAAAGACATGTTTTACAAGCGGCGGCCACGTGGGTGCGCTTGCCCAAATGGTAGAGGATGGCCATGTCGACAAAGTAGTAGAAGAAGAAGAAACTGATCATCCTACTACCTTATTAAGTTGAGAATAAGTTTGCCGCCATAAGTGATGGAAAGTTTCTACGCCGCGCAAGTATGGCTATGCGAATTGCAAGGTCACTTCTAGTGTTATGAATAATACCTCTAGAACAGCTTCCGGTATCTAGGCAGATATGAGATAGCATCTTTTAATTTTATATTTTCCCTATATTTAACTCTTAAGGCAATTGTCCCCCTCGCACTTGACATGGTATGAAGGCATGTATGCATCTCGTAGGTTTAATACAGCTAACATTTGACCAGGCCAAATTTTAGACTGGATCTATAAGTACTTTATCTCCCACCGCAATGGTAGGAAACTGGGCCTCCTTAGTGTCAGCTCTTGGTAAAGGCATATGGCACATATGCGTTCCAAAGAACACCTTGCCATCAAACCTTCTCGTCTTGGCCAAGGTCACGAACGGCTCCTCGCTTTTTTTGGCTGTATCTTGGTCTATGCATATCATATGGCATCTCCGACAGGAACCCAGCATCTTGAAATCCTGTTGTCCAATTCTTAAACTCGACCAATGATCTTCTGAATAGGCAAGCGACTGTGATTCTGAAGTTGAGGAGGCGATGACGATGTTTGCTCGAAACACTCCTGGAGAGATAGGTCTCCCGCCTTGCTCGACTATCTGATGATTCAACATCTCTAAGCTGGATAAGTTTATTGCGAGGATTGGACTTTCATTCGATAGTAGAATCCGCTGCCGCTCAGATTCGGAATCTGAATCAGGTGGCGTATCCATTCCTGGCAACTGGCTAGGTATCTTGTACTGTATCTTCTTATTGACCTTTTGGTGTTTCTGGAGGTGGGCCTTAGCATGCCGCATACTTTTCCCCAAGCCGCCTGGTGGGAATCGAGCTAGCATACACGGCACATCCAGAATTTTTGAAAAATATTCATTCACGCTATTCGATGTATATATTTGCGCTGATATTTCTTCACCACAAACCCTGGAAGCCATCTGTTTGGAAGCAGCACCAGCTTGAAATAGGGACGGATTTGCGGATAGAGGGATATTTAGCTCGGGTTCATCTGTCTTCAAAGGGCCTAAATACGAAACTCGCAAATGACCCTTAGCAAAATCAATCACCGGTCGTATAAGAGCCATGCGCGGATGTCGCTTCTGGCTTAATGCTTGACCAGTACCTCGATGAACCAAGCACCATTCTCGATCCCATGCCAGTCCCTCTTCTCTTACTTCCCACATTACCCCGGAAGGAACATAGAACCCGCCACAACTCTTGATCGGGAAAACCGTGATGTTTTTCAAGTATAGATCAGGTGGGGTTTGGGGAGATGGGATTGGAATTGTAGACACAGGTTTAGGGATGTTTTCAATTCGATAGAACTCAGCAATGAACTCAACGAACTTATCAACATCTGAAATAGTGCTCATAGCTCCCAGGCTTACTCTAATAACTCCTGTTGGCTTTCCGCCAATAATGTCATTATCAGTCCCGCATCTAAAACCAGAAGAAAAGTTTTTCTTCATTTCCCATGGTTCAAGGTTAAGGGAAGATGCGATTCCACCTGGGTTGCAGAGCCCTCCTGTGCGGATATGAAACCGTTTCAACACCGCGAGCTTCTCGAATTCAGCCAAACTAACCCAACCCCCCAGGTGATTTCGTAAGTTGAAAGCTATGACCGGACCGCTATTCGACATGAGAGGGAGTTGTGAGTACACAACACAGACTGGTTGGTCATTACCATGCCTAAGAACATCTAAACCACGATATAGTCTTCGACATAGGGACGATGTATGGCCTGCGACATCTTCCATGGTGTTGAATAATTGGCGATGAACATCAAGAGCCGAGGCCAACGCGATGATACTATGCACTGGCAGTGTCCCATCTTCTAGCGATTCGTGTAAGGCTTGCGATTTGGGAGCATGCCATTGTTCTTTAAGACAGACTACCATATCGACCGTGCCACCTCCGAAGTATTTACGTGACAAAAAAATCGACGCCGCTTGGCGTCTCACGATAAGCCCACCCAGGTCCGGAAATCCGAATATCTTGTAAAAGCTCAGTACAGTAAAGTCGGGAGCCGTTTCTGAGTTGCTCAAGTTCAGAGGGGACGTTGAAGCAAATGCTGCGGCATCTAGCAAGGTGAAAATTGGGCGGTCTGAATTAGATTGGCCTTTGCGTACTTCATCGGACCAATCTAGAGGAAGTCTTCTGCCGTCCATATTGGATTGGGCTGGGTACGCAAAAAGGACTGGCCCGGCATGATGCTCAAATTCAGCAGTCGGATTAGTCCCACTAATCCAATCACGTACAGCAGTATCATCCAGACAAAGACTATGTGAAGCTTCTTCTCGAACACCGACTAAGCTGGTGTGACATGCTTGATGATAGAAGTAGTCAAAACCGAGCTCGTGGCCCCGAAAAGCATCAGTGACCAGCTTAATGCCTGCGGTTGCGTTAGCAACAAAGACAAAGTCGAACTCGGAGGGATCAGCATGGAAGAATTGCAAGACCCGGAGTCGAACATCTTCAATTCGAGAGGTCGAAGTCTGAGAGGATAAGGAAGCGGAATGAGGGTTGCCAAAGAGATTCGACGTCATATCAGCGGCGAATTTGTCCACGAGGGACTTCGCATACAATGTAGTCCCAGCATGGTCAAGATAGATTTCATCTATAAATTTGTTAATCAATTAAGTTAGGTAGTTAGACTAATAGGAAAAGTCGACTTGCCTCGCAACATGGGGAATTCATTTTGTCGAAGCCCCTCGATGCGGCTGTTATATGCCGTACTACCACCGTCCGTCATATCGATGGTGTAATAAAGAGGACTTCAATGTAGACATCGAAACCGTCCTACCCACCAAATACGTACACCTTATACACCTTTATTTGCAGTAGCATCTAGTAGAAAAAGTAGGAAATGATTACTGAAAATAATCAGGTACGATTCATAGTTCATCATTGTCCGACTCAAGAGTGGGATCCTAACTTTAGCGATGTGGCAATGGCCCAACTAATATTGTAGATACCTAACACCGACGGGTGAAAGATGATTGGGAGTACCTCGGATGCTAACATTCGAAGTGCGGGCATGAAGAGGTACAGAATGTACAATATTAGGTTAGGTACCTAACATAATTGATAAGCCATCGGCAGCTGGCGGTTTAAGAAACAAAGAATTCCAGCTGTATAATTCCGGAGTTCGCCTTGTTCCAGTAGCTTGGATGGCCAAGATGACCTAAGCTTCACTAGCGCTAAAGTGGGGTTTATTAGTGGATTTGATAAAGCTGGAAGAGTGGGGTGAAATTGGCGCGTCATGTTCGCGATATGCCAAGCCATTAGCCAGGGGTTAAAAGCTAGGACCTTTTAAGGAAATAGAGGAGGAAACAGGGGAGGTACAGCCTTCGCGTCGAAATCACTTTACGCGACCTTCTCGCGTTCTGCGGACCCGCGCCGTCTCCCTTGCCAATTTCATCTTAGAGCTTAGGTACCTTACCTGTTTTCTTCTCTCCTGCAAACCAAATTCTCCACATCATAAGCAACTTCATCCTTTTGCACTTCACATTTCATATCATACCTACCTTAAACAAAACTATCTTACACAATTAAGATGGCGCGATCAACTCTCGGAAAGAGGATTAGGAATACAAAAGAGATTGGTAAGAACAATATTATTCGATTAATTCCCAATTGATGCAACTAACACCGACTTTAGAAGTTGTAGATGTACCTATAAAACGAACACGACGCCAGACACACACCTCCTCACCCAATGACGAGAATGTAGACCCTAAAGAAATTACTACCGATGACAACCTCGATAGCCAAATTGGTGTCTTAAAGGTCACAGACAAGTCACCTTCCAAACGTATTCGTAATGCAGAAGATAATGGAGAGGGTAAGAACATTTCACATTATAATTGACGAAGAGGCATTATCTGATTAAGCTTGCAGGTGAATGCGCACCACTTACGCCACGTACACCCAGTACGCCTCGTTTCCGAGATGCCCTTTCCAAAGTCCCAGTTACCCCCCGTCATCGGGTTACGCCCACCGGAAGGGTCTCTAAACGCCTTTTCCCACAAACGCCACTTACGCCCGCCGCCCTTCAAACTGTATACCACCACGCACGCCAACTTTTTTCGCGAAGCGCCGATCCTGGTCAATTGATTGGACGTGATGACGAGCGTTCACAGCTAAAAGAATTTCTACAACGATGCTCGAAGCCCAACCCTAGCGGATGCATATATGTCAGTGGGCCACCAGGAACAGGGAAAAGCGCTATGATAAATGAAGTCACGCAAGAGCTGGTTGAAGCAAAAACTGTGAAGAAGGCCTACGTCAATTGCATGAGCATAAAATCATCCAAGGACCTTTATGGGACTCTCATAGACCAAATTTGCGACGAGACGGACATTTCCGAAGGCGACGCTGCCACTACGGTTGAGAAGCTCTTCATACCGCGAAAGAAAACAACCAATGTCTACTTGGTTGTTTTGGATGAAATTGATCATATTCTAACACTGGATTTGGAAAGTTTGTACCGAGTATTCGAATGGTCCATGCAAAAGTCGTCACGCCTTGTATTGATTGGCATTGCAAACGCGCTGGACCTAACAGACCGATTTCTTCCACGCTTGAAATCTCGAAACCTGAAGCCCGAACTCCTCCCATTTCTACCATATTCGGCAGCACAGATCAAATCCATTATTACTACCCGTCTCAAGAGCCTTGTACCTGAGGGTAGCCCGCTACCATTCATTCACCCGGCCGCCATTGAACTCTGCTCCCGCAAAGTGTCAAGTCAGACAGGCGACTTGCGAAAAGCCTTCGAAATCTGTCGAAGAGCTCTTGACCTCGTGGAGGCTGAGACAAAGCAGAAACACGAGGCAGAGGTCAAAGAAAAGATCCTTCTCGCTACACCGTCCAAGAAGCCTCTCGGAGAGAACACGAATCTCTCTTTGTCGCCTAAACGATCGTCGGAGAAAGGTCCATCGGCAATGCTAGCAGAGTCATTGAGAGGCTTGACAGTAGAAACAGCACCTCGCGTAAGCATAGCACATCTGAACAAGGTTACGGCGGCCGCGTTCAGCAACGGAACAAACCAGCGATTGAAGACATTGAACTTGCAACAGAAGGCAGCATTGTGCTCACTCATGGCGCTAGAAAAGCGAAATAGGGCATCCCGAACGTCGTCGCTCCCAACTACGCCGTCTAAGTCGCAAAGCATCGCTCCAAGCATCAAGCGATTATACGAGACATATAGTATACTATGTACACGAGAATCTCTGCTGCATCCGTTGTCTAGTTCAGAATTTCGAGAAGTCATCGGCAGTCTCGAGACATTATCTCTAGTCTCTGCCGTGGATGGGAAGACAGGTTCCCTTGCCATGCTACATACACCAAGCAAAAGGGGAAAGAAGGGTGGATTTGGGTCCGGCATCGGATTGGCGGACGAAAAGAAGGTTGCAAGCTGTGTTGGGGAGAAAGAATTGGAACAAGCTGTGGAGGGACTCGGCGTTGATATCCTAAGGAGCATTCTCAGCGGCGAGGCATTAGATTAGATTTTTAAAGGGATACGATCTTGCATAGACACGGCGTTGCATTACGGGCATTCATGAGGGCGTTACAACGCATACCCAAAGATCATCCTCAGATGAGGATACGTTAGATAGTAATGTATAAATGTTAGCTAAAGACTTGCTATATCGGTTGCCTTATACAATTACTCATAACCTTCTTTATAACCTTCTTTCCCCGCCTCCTTAGTGCTTGCTATCGAGCCCATTTTTGTCTGGCCTGTCCCCTTTTCTTCTCTCATTTTATCCAACCGTCGCACACTGGTTTCCTTCCTGGCTGTTGCTACCATATAGGATTAATATATCGAGCTGGTAACTCTACCTAATACGGCTATACCACCCCTAAAATGTGTATAAGGTTCTAATAAAAGCTGTACGAATCAAGACCGAAATAGCCATGCTATCATGTGATCTACGTAGCACATATGCGTGCTATTTCACTTTATAATAATACGTACATGGCGTTTTGCTTCACAATCCTACCACCTAGTCCACTAACTAAACCTGTGAGTCACTAGTACTATTCTGATTAATTCACCACCAATAGACATCAGCCTTAAAGCAGGCAAGAGTCGTAGTGTTTTTTGGGGTCGTATCATCGGCTAAGATCCTCCTAAGTTATGGGAGAGCATTCTTCGTACTTTAGTCTCCAACCTATGCGAGAAATATCATTTGCTCATAGGTAAATTGAAGGAGATAGGAAACGACACGGAATAGTGGGAAGGTCAGTCTACTTCGTTACTACCTTGTGAGTACCTTACATGCGCTCCAGTCCATACATCTCCCATTACATACGTACGATACACGTTTTGCTTTAAGCCTAATAGGCGAATAGCCCCAGACAGTAATAATCAAGTCTTCATGGTGAGCGCCATACCACCATCGACGGGATAAGCAACTCCTGTTATATAGCATGACCTCGGACTACACAAGAAAAGTGCAGCATCAGCAATATCATGAGCTGTGCAAAGGCGTTTAATCGGTATAGTAGCCAAGAGCGATTCAACAGTCATCCCCTCAGATATTTTCAATGTGTGTCGTAGCATAGGCGTATCAGTCCAATTGGGACAGATACAGTTCACCCGGATATTATGAACACCGCTTTCCATAGCTGTAAAATCATGTTAAAAAATGGGGCAAATAGAAGGGGTTATTCTGTCGTGATACTTACCGGCCGTCTTAGCAATTGCCAGCACAGCATGCTTCGACGCAGTATACGGCACTAAGTGAGGTATTGTGAATATGGAAGCTGATGACCCTAGGACGACAATCGAACCACGAGTTCCGCCTCGCTCTGGATGAGCAGAGTCAACTGTAACTAGTTCTTGCGACTTCATGGCCGCTGAGATTAGGCTTGTTATAAGGAAGGTCCCGTGGACATGAACGGCGAGGGATCTCTTCAACTCGTCGAAGCTAGCTTCGTCAACTGGCCGATATGACCATAATCCGGTCTTAAGAGTCAGCATTAGACGCAAATTCTTGATATTTAGGAAACATGTCCCGATGTCCAAACTTACTCCCGCGCAGTGTATACAGTAGTCAATACGTCCAAAAGACTCGATCATCTTGGCAACGGTTTGTTTGACCGATTCTTCGCTTGTGACGTCAAGGTAAATCGCCTCGGCACGAAAACCAGGATTAGTAGCAACAGCAGTAGCTTCTGCAATGGTTTCTTCAGCAGCCTTAAGGTTAATGTCTGCCACGAGGATGCCTTTAGCCCCCTCCTTTGCTAAAGCTAGACTGCAGGCCTTCCCAATTCCGCTTCCTAAAAACTGTAAGCCGGTGATAATTATAGATTATGATATTCTACTCGCCTCCTCCAGTAACAAATGCATTTCCTGTAATGTCCATATTGCTATAGACTTCAAACCGTGTAAGTTATGGTTCTAGAGATGGGAGCGAATTGAATACAAGAACGAAGATAATGTTATCCAACTATTGGAGATTATTCAAATCAGGGAACGAGATAACATGGCAGCTATTATATGAACGTCCATACGCCGCTCATGAACTGGTATTCCCTGTCTGGGCGTTGGAGAACTGAGAGCCATTGCTGGTTCACCTGCAACCTGACTTCGCGGAGTACTACCCAACCAATCACCATGATGAATAAATCCTCGGATAGCTTTGGTTTATACCTCGGGATCTACGTAGTCAACTAGTCTATTCGTCTGCGTAACACTGCATTTCTGAATAGCACAATATAGTACAGTAGTTATCAACTCCTGACCAAGTCTAAGCCGTAAGTAAACTGAATATGCATCAAGGAATGGGAACAGGGGTTTGACTTGAATATTCAATAAAAGAATTCATTCTGTAAGCACATGTTATCTGAGGTCTAGACCCCTATACAGAGTATTAAATGTAATATTCTACCTCGGGTGATAAGGCAGCAGAAGCTGTCTTCATATTATTCCCCGCGCCCTCGGTGAGCGCGGTAACTTGGGTTCGGAGAATGGAGACCAATTAAACCGTTATGCATCGTCAACAAACTTACGTCTATCATGGCCGATGCTACGTGAAGCACGTGGGTAATTGGTATAACGCCCTTTATAGTCACACATAGGATGGATGGATGGATGTATATATGATCTTGATGCGGGGTCCCCATCATTCGCGCATATAGAATAGGGTGGTAAGATGATGACGTAGGCACTGGTGTGAGAAATCAGGTAGGTATTTAAGACCGGCGAAATCTAAAAGAGATTTAACCTTTAATCAGTAGTTGTGTTGAATTTGAATGGTTCAAAGATTTTCTCTTGGGAAAACCGCAAGTACGGGAATATTTGAGGTTCTATTTCTATTTTGTTTTCCAAGTAAAAGGGTTAAGGGGCCGAAGATACTACGAAAACGATGTGAAGTTGCTTTTCGTCAGTAGGTTTAGATTTATAATAAATTCCTTTTTTATTTAAAACATTTACATCTTACGTCTGCTAACAGCGGGTATGTATGGTCAACGGGCTTTGTTCTATGTGTTACGCATAACGTCCATGAAGACTCTGGTAACCGTCCTGCTGACCCCGAAAGCGAGGAAGACTTATTCTTCCTAGACTTTTGTTCTTGACTGGGTAACACAGTAGATAGAAGTTACATAATGGATGCATAGTTTTAAGCGACCCAAGAAATATAATAGATGCAATCAGTGCCAAGTCAATTCTTGAGTTGGCACGTGCTATCTATCAGAGGCGTATTCGTAAGCTAGGAATTGTAATTTATCTCTAGTTCCGGTATGTATATATCAAAGGATAAGTTGATATGAACTAATATATGTTTTGGTTACGATTTAGAAGATTTCAAGTAAGGTACTGGTAATCTAAGTAGACCTGAGATCTTTCGTAATTAAGGAGTACAAGTTGTTAGTAGAAGTTGTCCTTCAACTCTTGGTTCGGACTTAAAAGATCATGTGACTTCCCCACATGAACAAGCATTCCCCTACATCACTGCCCCTAGTAATGCACAGACTATTTTCGGCCAAGTGCCGATAAGCTAAGCCCTACTTGGACAAAAGCTTGTCTGACCTCGTTAGATCATTTTGACAGTGTTTTTCGAAGCTAAAACCGTGAAAAGCTAAAGCCATGCAAAGCTAAATCCTCAAAACCATGCGATTGTTTGCATACTCTTAAACATAGAACCTTTGTGGCATTCGTGATAGAATTGGGACTTGAAGTACGTATGGCTTAACTTTTAATCTTAAAGTGGAGTACCTGGAATTTTCGTGACCAGATTCTACTTGTTTGCGGTGACGCGCGAAAACGGAGATCACGGCCGCTTAAAGGAGGTTTACATATATAATAACTACCACCTATTTGGCAAACCGCACACGGCATACGCAGTATATATAAGCGGACGTCCTGGTTTAGGGCATATTTGGCTGAGCCATAATTAAAAAAAACTCCAAACTCCGGTCAGCTGCCGTGGAAATATGGATAACCTTGCCGACCGAGCAGGCCGAAGTCTGCAAAACGCTGCGCCTTTGGATCATTACGTGGCGTGGCGGCTTACCATATCCAGCTTTCTGTCTTTCATGCCACCGAAGCAAGTCTCGTGAGCTAAATGGTGTACTGTGAGACCTTTATACGAATGCTCATAATCCCGATAGGTGGCTAACGGAGGGGAAAATAGACTCACCTTACCTGTTTGTGGCCCCTCGGTTAACTAGCTCGCGCATCGTAATACGCTACGAACTATGGCCTATTACTATTGCCGTCGTCGTCTAGTAAGATATTAGTGAGAGAAATATCTCATAGCCGGAGTTCTGACACTCATCCGATGTTACCCAATTCTAAACTAACTTGCTCTTTTTTTTTTTTTTTTTTTTTTTTTTTTTTCATTAGAAACTAAGGGTCCATTCCGGACACTGTGCATATATGTGGGAAACACTACGTGCGCTAGACCAAAGGTCCCCCAACGATTAGATGTTGAGTTTGAATCCATATAGGTAACCCATAAAAATCCATAATTTGATAGGTGACTGGTTACCTAACATACTAAGATGGTGGCTTATACCCAGTAGTCTAGGTACATACATGCTTATACATACATTAGGTACATAGTTCTGCTTGTGAAACCTATGATTAATTTTAAGAACCTATTGAAACTCATATCTGCAAGCATCCGCTAGTTAGAAACTCTTGTCGATGTACTACACCAGTGTAATTGTATTTCGAGGTCTTACAAGCTTATCTAATATTAATTTCGCTTACATACCTGTCTATTTAATGTCAAATGTTCAAGTTTTTTTTTCTAGCGAAACGGGAGTTCTTCCGGAGTCGGACTTTATGGATGTACATATCCAAACCTAAAACCTCAAGCCAATTTTAGTGCAGTCTAGAGCCAGCCAGCCGACAGCAAAAGCAAGCAACTATCCGTTATTAGACCCGGGGTAAGCTTTCTTACGTCTTACGTACCTAACACTTGTACAACATACAACCTACAAAGGTACTCTACCTGGCTACCTACCTATACCTAACACCCCTCCGACGCTACCTACCTTTTAGATGTACCCTACCTACCTAACCTAGTGCCTGCCTACGCAACCTAATAATAATAATAATAAAAGCTGGAGGTCCATCTCTTGGCAGCCCTTCCCAAACCCAAGTCCCTTTTCTTACCAAGCCTCTCCCACAGCTTGGCACATGCAACACCCAAGATCTTGGTGAACTTTCTCCCGAAAGCCAATCCCAACTAACCGCATCTCGACCTTTTTCTACCTTTCGCGTGTCCATTCGGCGCCCTAGCCATAGGACTCCTCTAGGGGTCCTCAACATCATTGCCGTAGCCGTCGCCTTGGCCGTGTCCCCCTTTGTCCTAGTCCTAGTCTTCGACCGTGACTACCGCGACCTCTCGATCGTGAAACACGCGAAGGCCCGATCCCGTCCATTGCCCGAGCGACTTTCGTTTCTTATCTCGGCCTCGAAACGGACCATCGGGTAGTTGACGACGGTATCCGTGTGGTGTCATGCAAGACACGCACGGCGTTGTCAATTGAGTCTAGTTGAATAGATGGGTTCCGACGCCGACAAAGGTCAGAACTTACCGGTCGAAGACCCGCCATCTAGGCCCTCCTTATTCTCTCGTCTGACTTCGCCTCTTCGTTCACGAACACGTAATCTCGCCGATTTTCACATTCGCCTCCAAGAGCCTCATCGCCAATACTCTGCTGGAGATCACGTAAAGGGTCACGTTGTCCTTTCTGTCGTTAAGCCTATTCGCATAACACATTTGACTGTCGCCCTACACGGATATGTTCGCGTCTACAAACATGCTGGTGCTGGCGCGCAGCTTAGTCCCGTCAATCCCGCTGTAATTTCCCACGAAAGGAGCCGAAGTGTTAGATATTGCGGGAATGGGCTGGCCTCCCTCTTTCAGGATGAGCAGGTTTTATGTGGTGAGGGGAGGCTCAAGCCTACAAGATTCGAATTTGAATTCGATCTCATATTTCCTGCCAAGGGGTTACCAAGTAGTATTGATGTATGACTTGCTTTACCCTGATGATCTTTTTGCTGTTAGCTAATAATGCTAATACAAACTGCTATAGTTCGAGAGAGGGACGATATCCTATATGGTCACAGCCACATTAACACGACCGACTTCAATAGCTGCAACTTCTAGTTGCGAGACGAAAGTAGCCCTAATAGAAAAGGTGGATATAGGTGTACTTGCCCCTCCACGAGAACGGAGGGTATGTATGCAGACTTTACGGAGACGGCCGAAAAAGAAAAAGAGACCGGTGCCGGCAGTCGCATCGGGTGCCAATCGCGGCTCGGTATCTACAGAAGGGCAGGAACCGGCGTCAGACCTTGACTCTACAAGGGTAAACGAAAATTCCAACGGGAGTTCCGTCAGTCTGGGAGAAGTGACAACGTCAGTCGGGTCACCCGGAAACCATTTACCGCGAAGCCCATTACGGAGCGACTTAATCCCGCACGATCTACAGAGTGAAATTAGTGGTGATAGTGCTGTTAGCAACAACAGCGGCTCTAATAGTGCTAGAGGTGCCGATGCCAGTGCCGAATCTGTGGCTGCAAGTAGGTTGTCGGGGAGTGATGAGAGAGAGATAACCGCAACCGTTGAATTATTGAAAGGAGGCTGTCTTCCCGGAGATATATTACCTGTTAAGATCAAGATTGAGCATAACCGTCGCATGAAGAGCATGCATGGCATTATCGTCACGCTGTATCGCCAAGGTCGCGTAGACTATTCACCACCGCTCTCCTTATTCACGGCGGAACTCTCTAAAGAAGATGCCAAGCGATTAAAGCACGAAGATTATTATCCGAGATCAAGGACTGGACTTGGGGGACTATCGTTATCCTCTGCTGGTTCGTGTAGCGTTTTTCGAAAAGACCTCTCTCAAACGGTTGCACCACTTATAATAAATCCTGTCACGCTTACAGCAAATATCACGACGTCTATTAGAATACCAGAAGATGTATTTCCGAGCATCAAAAATGTTCCTGGGGGCTTAATTAGTTTCAGATATCACGTTGAGGTAGTTCTCGATCTAGGCGGTAAACTCGCGGGCCAGTCTACTGGAAGCTCGCAGCAAGCAAATAGAATTGGATCTTTAGGGGTTCCGGGTGGCAATCCTGCCTCAACGGTCGGGGCATATGATCTGAAGCGGCTTGCCAACTGGAATGGCACAATAGTCGACACTGATCACTTAAGACGTGAAAAGGGTGTTATATCCGTGTCCTTTGAGGTTGTAGTAGGGACTATGGACTCCGCCCGCTCGCGAGGCAAATCCGTGGTGCGCCCGTCGCTCACAATTCAACCGCCTCCTTCGGAAGACATCTACAGCGAGAACGATGAGCAGAACTATACCTGGCAAAATGAACTTGACAGTGGAAATAACTATAACGGAGATTTCGCATCCGGGCAGCTCGAGCCGTCGCCTCAAAATTATTTTCCGCCGGGAGCATCTCCTCAAACATCCTATTATGACTTCCAAGACCAGGAATCGCATGCTCCAGTCTATGTCCCACCACCAGAGGTACCCAGGCAAAGCGATCTGTCGGAAAAAGAGCGCATTCGTCAAGCAGAGCAGAGGTTGTTGCCTAGCCAACCGCCACTGCAACTTGAAGAATCAGAGGCTGGCCCATCGCAGGCATCCGCGCCTATCGACGAATCCGCTCATCCGACTAATGGTAATCATAATTCAAGTAGCCACACTTCACTGCCGGAGCCAGAAGGGGGTGTTGGAGGACCATCTGCGCCTATGCTGACAGATCTAACACCGACAGGTCCTCCATCTTCATCTAATGTTGATGATAAACAGGAGCTTGAGCGCCGACGTCTTCTCCAAGAAGCTAGTGCGCCCCCAGAGGTTCCAGAAGACTACGAGGGCGAGGGGTCATCTGCACCAGCACTCGGTCCATCAGGGGGCGTGGAACCCACAGCTCCGGTTATTCGTGATGACCACGACTATGGAAGTCTGGACGCTTATCATGACATCGCCGGACCTTCAGGGCGAACCGCGGGATCAGAACCATTGCCGAGATATGAGCGATGACGTAATTACTCGTAATAAAAGATAAGTCGGTTGCCCAGAAAGAGATTACTGTATGTGAATATCCTTATCTGTTATGAAAGAGTTGGAATGGAGGAGTTCAACACGATCGACCAAGGAAGAGAAAATACCCGGTTAGCTCTTCAGGTTTAAAAGTTGTATGATAAGGAGATTTCGCACTTGGCATGATGAACGCCCTCCATCAAAGCGGTTCGGTATAAGTACTGCTTCAGTCGTTTTATATTGCTTAGCAAGGGTGTCACGGGTGTTTGGGTTATAGGTCTGCATATATAGGATGTGGCAGGCTAAAAGCGACTGATTAAATGAGAACATCTATATTATCATTATAATTCGAATTCATGGCAAGGGTGTTTTGAAATATACGATCCGAGACCACTCGACTAGTAAAACACTACACGATATTCAAGTTTATACAACGCTGGGAAAGACTTATGAGGCAATCGCCAAAACACAACGCTGAGTAAAGTGAGTTAATACAAAAAAAAGAAAAAAAAGGCACGGCAATCTCGAAGCCAGTCGTCAATTAAATTCCAGATATAAAATTGAAGACATACTTGAATCGAAGACGGCTTTTCCGGGCGCATCTTGCACAACCCTCACCCACATGAACGAATCCAGCACAGTGTACATGGCAGACCACGAGTCTATGCCACATAACTCGAGATTGACACGCAGCCAGGACTTCAACCAGGCCTCACTATCGACCCCGCCGAACACGGAAACGGCGCCAACGGTTAGTAGCCAGAGAAGTAGCCGCGGTGTGGGAAAGTTATTTACGCCACTATAGTCGTTATCCAGGGCGGGGAACTCGAGGTTCACAAGATTATCTTGATACATAATCGGGAAATGCGTGTACGGTAGCCGCACGCTGGCCCACTGCAGGAACACGTTGGAGCAAAATGCTAACAGGCCTAAGCGTATAACTTCAGAGGGAGAGCCACGCCCAAAACACATGTGCAGTAACCGATACATGACCGATGCCATGGTATCGAGGAGGTCTTCTTTGGGTAGTTTTCGACTAGCGGCGGCGGCGCGGTTAACAAGAGTGCAGAACTTCTTCATCGTGCGCCACGCGGTGGCTAGCTCTGTGTCGAGGATAGCGAGAAGCGGCTCGTCTTCGGGATCGGCGGTAATGCCGTATAACATGAAGTCCGGGTATGGCCAGTATGGCTCCTGCACCAGGTCGGAGAAGAATATGGGTTTGGTGCCGTTATGTAAGGCTATTCCCATGTCGCATCTATATAGACTGTTAGAAAGGTAAGTGGAGGGACATACTAATCTTACCTTAGCAGTTCAATAACAAGCTTTTCGTTTTTCAGACCCTTAAGCCCCCTGTTCAAGTCGACTATCTTACGAAGCCCTAACATATGGTGTCTGGCAGTTTCGTGCTCGCCCATGATGTGGGCGTGGAAGGCGAGACACAGCACTACCGCAGCCGTACTGAATGATGATTTGACTGCTACGTTATGCTCTGGTAGATCTAACCTCTCGCGTAGGAGCCTCAGTGTCTTGAGCATGTGTGGATACGCCGAGACAGGCCTCTTGCTTGATATACGGCCTGACATGAGGTCAAAGTAGGCTTGTGTCGAGAAAGCTAGGGCATGGAGATATGCGGCATCGACAGTGAGGGCCTCCATCCACCCCGACTTTTCCCTCACGTCGAAATAAATGCATGATTCGAGGGGGAATAGTAGTTTCTTCGCAATGCTAGAGACTACATGGAGACATAAAGATGTGGTTTAAGTATAAAAAGACTAGGTAAAGGGCATTTGGAGCCATACTCACACTCTAAGATAACAGCGACGCTGGAGTCCTCTATCGTATCGGCGAACTGGATGAAAGATAAATCGCCACCAACCCTTCTAGGGATGACGACGGGGGTTAATGTGATTGGCGCGTTATCATCATATTCTTCCTCTTTTTCACTTGATATTGGTCTCGGATTATGCAACCCTTCCGGGATGTGTGATTCATCCGCTTTATTATGTTTCGGACGTAAATTCTTTCCGCGGTTCTTACCCATCATCACATGGCTCCGGATGAACTTCCGCATTTCGGGATCAGGCTTTTTGGTGCCTGTAGATACTATGAAGGGCATACTCTCTGCCCAGTTAGGTACATATGTGAGATTCAATCCTTGGATAGGTATAAATGATTATATGTTCCTTACCTGAACTCTTAGGGGTTGGCGCCATATCGTTGGTCAGGTACCGACGAGGGCTCTACACGGAGATAGACAGTCAAGAATACTAGGCTTTCTGAAATTAACCCCGTCCTGTAGGTTGGCTGCTACTCGCTATCGTATGCTACAATCGGGATTGGTGCTGTGTAGGGATTGTACTTCAGCTTTCAGATTGTATGCCTAGACGGGTATACCGTCGGAGAGAAACAGAGGAGATTGATTTCCTAGATGGGAAAACAGTCAATGTATGAGAACGTTGGCATAGATAGATATTTAAAGTGTGTCTAATTAAATAAGTTTATAATCCAGGGTCCCCGAGATTCGTCAAGTATACGTAGACGGGCGTGCGATGGTTATAACGGTGCTTATTATGCTAAACCTCATCTGGTTAAGCGTCTTCGAGATTGTTTTCCGATTTGGGTATAGACTCGATATACCGTAGCGATGGATGCTGGATTCGAAATAGAAGCAGGCTCCTATTGGATGAATATTATGCGAAGATGCGGATCCTCATCCCTACATCTTCTAGCACTGCCGGGAGCTTGTCTCCAGAAAGTCTCCGTTCAATACGCCGACTCATTATCGTCAAGATAGAGCTTCACTAAGCTCATTACGTGGATAAAAGGGAACCAAACTTAGTCAAAAAAATGGCATTCTGTATCATATATAAGATGTTGACCCTTTCAGAATATTTCTATTCATTCAGACTCACCAACACATCCGAATTTTCAAATTACCAGTCAAGGTATAAGATTACATAGTGCAGCTGTATCAGCATCGATCCAGAGTTACAACTTAGATTGTATCTTCGAAAACGCAATGGCCACTTCAAAAGACTTACCACCACTGGACGTCGGATTCGGAAGCATCTTTATGAAGAACCAGTTCCGGACCAAGCCCCAACATCCACCAAGCACTATAGACCTTACCGGAAAAGTCGCCCTCATCACTGGAGCTAATACCGGCCTAGGATATGAATCTTCTAAGCAAATGCTTGCTCTCCATCTATCTCATCTAATCATCGCTGTCCGAAGTCAAGCAAAGGGGGACGCAGCCGCTTCCAAACTTCGAACATTGTACCCGAAAGCAAAGATTGAGGTCATGATCGTGGATATGGGCAAGTACAGTTCCATCCAGGAGTTTGCCCAGCGCGTCGACAGTACGCTGCCTCGACTAGATATTGCCATTCTCAATGCAGGTGTAATTAAGTTAAAATATACCACGGAACCCAGCACCGGCCACGAGCAAATTCTCCAGGTAAACTACTTATCGACGATATTCCTCGCCATCCTACTGCTCCCTATCCTCAAAAGGACGTCTCCACCCGGAACCCCCGGCCGGCTTACAATTGTCAATGCGGCATTGGCGCTCACCGCACCTCTACCAAAAGCCGCCGGTCATAAATCCATCATTGCGACTCTAGACGACCCTAAGTTTTTCGCTCCGAATACCGATAAGAACTACAATATGTCCAAGGTCCTGGCTCAAATGTTCGCCTATAAGTTGAGCGAATACGTATCCGCGGACGATGTAATTGTTAACCTAGTATGTCCGGGTTTCGTTAAGGGCACCGAGCTTAGCCGGGACGCTAGTATCATCATAAGACCCGCGATGGCCCTATTTTCCGCTTTAGCAGCGCGGACAGTGAAGGACGGCGCCTCGACGTACTTGGATGCGGCTTTAGTCAAAGGAAAGGAGTCGCACTGTTCGTTCCTTATGAGTTGGAAGGTTTCACCGTAAGTGTTTAAGATTACAAGCCCCTTTCTTACTTACATAAAAGGTACCTAGGCACTGACTTAGTAATACTCTAGGTTCAACTCCTTCCTATATACTTCCGAAGGAAAGGATGCTGCAGACCAACTGTTTGATGAGACGATGAAAGAGTTGGAGTTTGCTAATGTTAGGAGCATTCTAGAATCGATGAGGAGTGGAACGGCATAGTGTTAAACGCTTGATTACAGGGCTGAAGAGGAGGTTAGGCAGTTTTAATTTCTCATAGACTTATCATGTGTAAGATATGGATCTTATTAACAATTGTAATCATTCTATATCTAATAGTATACCATTTACCTACCAGCCTTAAACTTTTATATGGTATGTACCTAAGGTACTATGGCTTCTCCATAATCTCGACCTACAAGTGTACCTAGCTCAAGGGGTACTCAGATAGCTTTAAAATATATTATTATATATACTATAATTCTAGGTATGAAATAGTTACACTGAGTTTCAAGATATCTCCATCCTGATCCTCGAAGATAAACATCCAACATAATAGTTAACTCGGGTGTGTTTCTAGTTTCTTCATCGTAGTGGGGTAAACAATAAGGCAGTAATCGCCAACTAACCACACCAAGCCGCATATAGCAATATCTATTGGATTAGGAGGTACCTAGGTATGAGGCAACTACCATAAGTTACCAATGGGAAAACTCGCCTTCAGCTGCGAAGGCCAAATCTAGTAAATAATCTTCCAGCCCAATCCTTTTATTCTCAAAAACGACCGGCCCACATCGATTAGGGTGTGTGAACGCGGAAAGAGGTATATCATCGGGATATATTTGAAAGGATATTTGCTCGCCTATCAACTTGAGATAGTCAATACGACATCTTACGCAGTAATCAGGAACAGAACCTCCTTCAGGAATAGTTAACGGGAGCTGCCCGTCACGGGTGAAGCGCGGGTCGTAGGGTCGTATTCTTATTTCGTGGCCACACAGGGGGTAGACAAGAGGATAGCGGCACAAAGGGCAGTCTGGGCAGATACTATCGTTATAACGAGTCCGGGTCCAATCATCAATACCCCTGAAGCCGAAAAAGTGACCACAAGGCAGGACAGCCATGGGTTCCGATAGGGGCATGTCCTTGGAATCCCTTGGGCGGGGTGTTCTTGACGTTACGTCTAATACGGCCTGAGATATGTGACAGGTTAAGTATAAGTCAACGCGTCGTCCTGCGGAGTCCAATCCATACTCGATGTAGTGGGCGATATCACCAAATACAGATACGTCGTCGTTAGTTACGACACGAACATTTCTGTCGAGTGCCTTCCGGTATGCAGCGTAACTTATAGGTTGTGGTGGGTATGCTCGAACAATCCCTGGAGGTGCAGTATTGCGAACGCTGCTATAAATATCTTCTGTTACCCCAGGAGGAAGATAGGTGGTCCATGGCTCATAAACTTCTCCTTCTTCTGGAGAATGATAAATATTACTGCAGCTTCTTCGTGTGAAGTTTTCACTTCCAGGCATTGTCGCAAAAGTTTAGTGGCGTAGACACGTAAACTCAAGTTTTAGACAAGGTCAAGATTGCTTGACGAATCAAGCAGACGAAGGAAGCTGAAATATAGCTAAATGAGAACTTAAAGAAGCCAGGAGGGGGGATTCCTGATCTAAGACAAGACCTTTTGGAACTATTTTAAACAAGTGTTTATAAGGGAAACGAAGCTCGTATATAATTACAAGAGGATTGTGTGGGGAACAAAAGGAGTAATGATTCAGAAATAATTGTATGCTAAAGGCTTTATTTGTCTACTACCCAGGCCAAAGAGCTGGGTCATATAATGGTATCTGCTATGAAAGAGGCTTTAGGGAGAGCTCTAATTACTCGGAAAATATATGCACCCCGCGCACTGCTTTTAAGGATTAATGGCTTTCTTAATCAATGCCTTTCTTGGACAATAGAAAAGGTAAAAAGCAAAATTGGGGGTGCTTTAAGGAAGCACAATGATAATAAACATGAAAGGCCTAGTTAACTATTGCCTTTTATATCGTAGAATTATCAACAACTCAACGGTAACATCCCTGAGAACTGCAAATGGTGCTTCGTTTAGTGCCGGAATGTAAATTATAAGTATAAGATATCCTTCTGTATATTATTAAGCTGCGTGCAACTACCATTTCCTCATGATTGGCTACCAGTAACGTACTGGGCTTTGAGATATCCCCAGCTGATTCCCAGCTGATTACCAGCTATGACATATAATCTAACAGGAACGTCTTCATATACCAGACTAATATTGTATATTATAGTGACCTTACAGTCTCAGTATATACATCATAGCCTTTGTACAATCCTACCAAATGTAGCTTTAGGTTGCCTCTCAGTATGTGGGAGATATAACTTATTACGGGCATCCAGAGCAAGTCACTTGTGAGCCCGCTCTATTGAAATTGCAACTTCCACCAACGCAGTTTAACACGCATACGGAGCAATCCGGATAGTAGTCTGCTATAGCACATCCATAACCACTTTTCGCAGGGAGACAGTCACTATACGTTGTTATTTATAAGTCATATCTAGGCAGAAACCATATTAATGGTACTTACTCCGCGAAAGACGTCCCGAGGAATATAGCAGCAATGAGAAGATAGAGTCTCATGATGTAAACTTTACAGCTGTTGCTTGTGTTTAGGGGGTTTAAAGGTAACTTGGTTTAATAGACTGATGGACTTTAACTTGTCTAAGGGGAAGGTTACGGAATACCCAAAGACAGAGTATTTACCAAGCCTTAAATTTATATAGCTTGCTAAATAATTGTACAGTAATGCATACGTGTGATATTTAACGTTGCTTTCTGTTCTTGGACGGCGCTGAATGATCAGATACCACCTGCCATACTGGTGTTCGGTGACTCAAATACTGTCGTTTGACTTTAATAACCAACAATACGTCTCAAAGGATGAGTTTTAATCATACTTGTTTAATTATATTTATGACGATCTACTTACCTCTACTGAAGTAAGACTATTCCAGTTCTCGAAAAGGGGTAATTTACGCAGAAATATTGTCGCAAAAATGATGTAATAATTTCTTGTTAGAAATTACGTCTTATGTGTGATAAAACATTAGTATATTGATTTCAAGAGACTAACACACCCTGTTTATGCGAAATCTGGTGGGCTATCGGTCGCACTGCAACTAGAAAATAGCCAGGGCATTCGGCGGAGACCCAACAAGTCCAGGAATATTCAGGGGAGCCGATGTAAGGAGAAAGCTATACCGTCCCGAAGCCTTGCAATGCTCAGAGAGCGCCTTGAGATCCCAGAGTTCGCCGATTGACATGCCGAACATCGAGAGTAACCAAGGATGGAGGACTATAAGCAGTGTGAGCGGATTTTTTGTTGTTATCGAGAATAAAATATGACATTTTCATAATATCGTAGGCTTGTGTAGACTTACATAGATCCATTGGGCTACCCACCGTCCCATCCTCTTTCAGAGGCATCAGAGCCTCAAAGCCCCAGGAGTCACCCGCCACAGCAGCGAAATGCTTATTCCATAGCCATTTAGCAGTCTCGAGAACACCATGTACGCCGGAAATTGTCCCGTTCTGCAGTTTTGCAAAGTCTTCGGGACGCGGTGCTTGTAGTATCTCGGTGAGCCCCGTACGGATGATGAGAACATCACCTTGTCGGAACTCGACACCTTGATCCTTGGCTACAGCCTCGATTTCTTCAATCGTAATGCGATGGCCGTCAAGAGGGTGGAAGACCGCTTGCTCTCCGGTTTTGCCTTCCGCCTTGGCACGCTTCTCCGCCCACTCCTTGAAGTCGATGAGAACACCCCTTGTTACCAGTCCACCCGCCGCATGCCAGTGGTCTAATGTAGGTGTGGTGTTTGCAACGGTATTCGACACTGCAAGTGCCTCTTTATTAACAGTAATACCGTTATAAGCCAACCCGGATGGCTGGTGATGCCAGTGGACGAGACTATCCCACTGGCTACTTAATTGTGTATTGAAATGGATCTCATCATCCCAACCTATCCCTTCGGACAACCCTGCCTCCTGTAAAGTCATTTGCTTATGTACGGGGAATATTCTGCCCGGCATCGGAAAAGCTATAGCATTGAGAGGCCAACTGCGTGGCTTCGTATAAGCTAAGATCATAATACATACCTGACAATGGCGACATAATAAAATGTAGACTTACTTCAAGGAGATGGATATGCCATCTCGCGCCTCGCTGAAAGCGGCCTTCGTAACAGATGGCGTTACGAGATTTAAAGTGCCCAAAAGGTCTTTCTTGCCGTCCTTGTCGAAGATGCCCCAAGCGCACCCTTGGGGCATATCTGGGACTTTGGGGAGGTCATCGAAATCTGGCACGTTTACGGTACTCATCTTCCTAAACAGTGCATATATTGTTTGACTATTAAATGACTCTGGTCGGTATGAAGCTACGAGACTATGTGCTATGAATTAATTCCAGGTAGTTGATGGTACGATATATGTATATCGACGTGTGCAATAATACCCCTTACATAGGCGGCGTTGTCGTTACCCTATGTGGGCTCCTCCCCCCTCTCATATGCGTTGCCAAGTGGACTTTTCGATGAATATCCCAGCTAGTCCTATAGTGTTACTAGGATCTTCCCTAGCATTGCTTTCTGAGGCTATTGCCAATGTACGGAGTATCCGGATTTCATCTGCGGAATTTAAGATATAACCTGATTATGTGGACTTGATGTAAAATACGAATACGATTTCCCCATCACGAATACGCTAGTTATGTGAAATGTAAAAGTCCATATGTTGTTCAGGATCTCGTGAGGGGGTAGTTAAGAAGGATGGCCAGAACATCTCGCCAAGAGCATGCGGATATGTCCCTTGACCCGCCCTTGGTTCTTAACTCTTAACTCCTATAGGTTGAAGATTTCCCACTTATTCCCGGGCTATCGCGTTTGTGACTGTTAGTGTGTAGGCTACGGATGGGTTTGCTTTCCTTACATGGGCTGATAAAGGCACAATGAGTTGATTGCCCAATCAGAGGATGTTATCTGTTGAGCTCAACTTTCCTAGTTAGACTGAAAGTAGAAGAACTAGACCGAAGATGTGATTGGGGAATTTGGGGTTGGGAAGGGGTTATTACATACTTACATAAAATATAATATACGCTGCATCGGCGAGCTATCGTTCCGTTGCATTAAGATTCATATATTTTTATATAAAGACATCTTCTCTGACAAGACGACGAGCTCCCTTCAACAGATGATAAGGCCCACTTCTATAATCATTACTTAGGGACTTCTTTACAATGGAGGAATTTGCTCGCATTCAAGAGAAATATAGCGCGGAAGCCCAAAAGCGTCTCCGACCTGAAGGTGCTGCTCAGTTTCAGACACTGGCACAAAGCGACTCCGATCAGTTGCGTCATCTCGCTGACGATTTCTGGGCTGATCACGCTGCCTTAGATGCGCTACCGTCACCCCTTAAACCTGGCGACTCTCCTAAGTTTCTCATAGCAGGAGCAGGGATAGGCGGTCTCGGGGCTGCGGTCCGACTTATCGAGGCCGGCTTCTCGGTAGATCAGATTCGGATTATAGAGACAGCTGGCGGCATCGGTGGCACGTGGTATTGGAATAGGTATCCGGGACTACATTGCGATGTCGAATCTTATGTTTACCTGCCACTATTGGAGGAGACAGGATTCGTACCCTCTCAGAAATATTCTTCTGGAATTGAGATAAGGAACTATCTGCAGCAGGTTGTGAAGAAATGGAATCTCGAGGATAAAATTCTGTTCAGATCTAAACTTGACAAGATTGAATGGGATGATAGTGCTCACGTATGGAATTGTGATATCACTACTGGAAGGGGACCACGAGGAGACGAAAAGACGACTTTTCAGGCAAAGGCAGAATTTGTTTGGGTAACTGCTGGGTTATTGAGTAAGCCCCAAGTACCGAAGCTCTCCGGCGTTGGGATAGAGGGGTTTAAGGGTGATGTTTTCCACACAGCGCGGTGGAACTACGATACCACCGGCGGTACACAGGAGGAAGTCTTCCCAGACTTATCCAAGTTGAAAAATAAAAGGGTAGGTGTTGTCGGAACCGGTGCGACAGCGATTCAAGTTGTACCATGCCTGGCCGAATACGCAAAGGAGTTATATGTATTCCAACGTACCCCTGCCGCAGTTTACGGTCGTGGCCAGAAACCGACCGACCCAGAGGAATGGAAGAAGATTGCTGGCCAGCCCGGTTGGCACGAGGCTCGCCGGCAGAACTTAGCAGCGAATATATCCAATTGTGCTCCGCCTGGAACCCCGGACTTGGTCGATGATGAATGGTCTCGACAGGTTGCTTACGCGGGCCTAATTGGCGACCCGGAGTTTGCGTTTGTGTCACCGGAGAAGATCCCCGAGGTTATTGGTCAATTTCTAGCTCGAGACGCACCAAATGCGGCGCGGCTGCGGGCACGGATCGCCGAGATCGTCAAGGATAAAGAGACAGCTGAGAAGCTTACGCCGTGGTATCCAGTTTGGTGCAAGCGACCTACTTTCAGCGACACGTACTTGCAATCATTTAACAAACCTAATGTTCACCTTGTCGACACGGACGGCAAGGGAGTTGACAGCGTAACGTCTGAAGGCCTCGTCGCTAACGGCCAAGAGATCCCCCTTGATGTCATCGTGTTTAGCACGGGGTATCGCGGACCAGGTGCAGATGGAGCAGATCCATCTATTCGCGCCGGCCTCAAGGTGCATGGCCGTGGTGGAAAGACTGTCGCGGAGTCCTGGGCAGATAAAGGTATTGCTACGCTTCACGGCTATGCGAACCACGGTTTCCCAAATCTATTTTGGCTTTCCCCCCTACAGTCCGGTGTCAGCGTTAATCACTCACATGTGCTCGATGTGCAGTGCAAGCTCATCGCATACGTAGCGGCCACAGCTCACCAGAAAGCAGGCGGTCTGAACAAGAGCGGGGTCACGGTGGAGGTTGAAGAGGCCGCGCAGGAGGCCTGGAGCATGAAGATCATGCAGGGGGCGGCTCGGTTCGCGACCGTGACGGTCTGCACACCGAGCTATATCAACAACGAAGGGAAGGCAGTCGATCTGACGGCTAGCCTCGAGGAGCAGATGAAGCGGGCGCGAGCGTCGCCCTACAGCGCAGGTCTTGTTGAGTACATTCGGGAGTTGCAAGAATGGCGCGATGAAGGTAACTTGAAGGGTATTGAAGTCACCGCCTCGTGAAATTAGTACGATTTAGAAGACCGTGAAGTAAGAGTATTTTACTACAGTATATTGTGCTTCTTTTGAGCGGTACGAGTTAGCACAGTGCTACCTAGTGTGTACTAGTTAGGTATATCAATAAGGATATCTATCGTAGGATCATCTGCTATAGGTGAGAGAGGCTGGTAGAGGAAATAGACAAAGTCTGTCGAAAATGATCTTTACTATCATATATAGGTACTTGATAGACACTTGGAAAAGCTTTATTTAGTGCTAAGAGACTCGTTAGTCATTAACTAGGATCATAACATAAGAGCATAGCTGATTGCCCTCAACCGCACGAGAAGTGCAATTTCATCCGTTCAATGCATCCCCTGACATCCCTTAGGTGTTTTTACACCCAAGTAAGACCAGTTCTAAGCTTCGATACGATCTACTAATCTTCATATGCCTCCTCGTACTCCTCTTGGTACTCCTCCCGAGCCTCTTCGAGCTCTTCGAAATCGCTACTGCTGGCGTCGGAATCTTGCGCCTTGGCAAGGGCTTCCTCGTAATCTTCACGAGCGGAACGTACAGACTCTCGATCGCTGGCATCCACATACTCACCCTCTGCATTGTACGCTGGTTCATAAACCGGCTCATAAACAGGGGCGGGAGGTGGAGCTGCGTAGACCGGAGCCGGTGCGGCTTGATGATGTTCATCATCCGAGTCATCTGTACGGATGTTAGCATGATAATTCACACAAGAAGCTGATATATGGCCGAAAGGCGGTACGGTTAGAGGGGCTTACCGAGAGCGTTGGCTATTAATGCGCCGCCGATAGCACCTACAGCTAGACCACCGGCAGCACCCATTAAGAGGCCGCTATGGTCCTTTTTCTTTTTCTTCTCTTCGCTTCCTTGCCTATTGTAATCTTCTCCCTGCTGATGCCCGTAGCTTTGATCTCCGTGGCTGTATCCATATCCGCCCTGTTCACCATGGCCTCCATGAGAACTATAACCGTGCGAATCTTGGGGATAACCATGGCTCGGCGCGCCATAACCCGGTGCGCCATGAGATGAATAGTTAGATTCGCCGTGAGATCCCCATCCTCTGTCACCTCCGGTTTGGCCGCCTCCAGCATGGTAACCTGGTGCTTCCCATTGCGAATGGCCGGTTGCCTGCTCGTGGTAATACCAGCGTTGGTACTGTTGGTCAAATTGTGGTATCCAACCGGCCGGGATTGGAGGCTTATCCGATGGTGGCGAATAAGTAGGACCGGCACCCGGAACAGGCGGCGGGGGGCTGCTATAGTTACCAGGCGGTGGGGGGGTATGATAATTTCCAGGCGGAGGAGAATTATAATTGCTTCCGTGTTGAGGCGGGTAACCACCAGTACCACCGTATTGAGGGTTTGGCGGGTTCGGCGGATATGGATCTCGGCCGTGGCTGCTACCGTATTGCTGAGAAGGAGGTGGATAATTTTGATGGCCTAAGATGGCGATTAGTATTAATCAGTTTGTGTCTATCAAGGTTGAATATAGAGATGATGGGTTAGTGAAGAATGAAAAATCAATAAAAATACTTACTTGAATATCCTTCTCGCTCCCGTGGCTTTTCGGAACCACCAAGGTTTAGCTCATCGAGCTTACTAGTCAACTTATTAAAGAAAGACATCGTGTTAATATTCTTCTTGATTTTGCTGTTAGATTTTATGCTATATCTTGTTAAGAAGATGGAGGTAGATATGTTCTACTTTTAGGTTGATGATGTGCGAGACAAATGGGAACAACTGTGTGTCATTCAACCAATCGCCTTCTTGCCGTGAGATATTGTCTGGATACTTATATTTGGAACTGATCAGACGGCTAGGCAATCTAATAATCTGCAAGCTTACGGCGTGCTTCAAAGGTCCGTGATGGAGATGACTGGGTTTTAACCCTTGTTTGACTGAAACTTGTAGCACACTTTACTACACAGATAATGATTTAACAATAGGTGTGTAGGTATATTAATTCTTAAGCCATGTAAGTGATTCAAGGGGGCCTGCTGCGGTTGCTCCCGGTTTGCTAATAGGAGGCCTAACAATTAGTGTCTTAGGTACCTAACCTTAGGTATATTTTAGTGTTAAAAATGGTTACCCGCATAGACGCCGTGGCGGGCGGCCTCCTTTTTGCCCCTCCATAGCCCCTCCTTCGACCCCGCCAAGACTATAGTCTCCCTTTTCGTGTTACCACCCCACCATCAGCGTATATCGTCACTGCCGTGTTACCCGTCAGCCCTATGTAAATCCCTTATCGAGTTATCGAGACCCTTAATTCCTTCTCCTGTTTTATCATTTCTCAGCCCCAAATCTTACATCCTACATCTCCTGGACCCACACAGAATCATAGGATAGATACTGACCTCCAAGGTTGTCTGCTTGTTTTACATCCTAATATTTATTTACCATATTTCTTCTTTAAACGAGTAGTAAATCTCACCATCACTTAACCAATCCCAATCGTTCATCTTTGATCACCTTGTAAAATGTCTGGTTGGGGTCACGACCAAAATTACGGCGGAGGATACGGCGGAGGGGGAGGAGGAGGATATAACCAACCTCCTCCTCATCAAGGATATAATCAACCTCCTCAAGGATACAACCAACCCCCTCAAGGGTATAATCAATATGGTCCGCCTTCTGGTCCTCCGGGTCATAATCAATATGGGGCTCCTCCCGGTCCGCCTCCCCAGCAACATGGCTATAACCAATATGCCCCTCCGTCTGGACCTCCACCTCCTCAGCAGCACGGGTATAATCAGCCGCCGTCTTCGTACGGCCAAGGATCTAACCGCTATCCGCCGCCTTCCTACCCCCCACCACACGGTTTAGATCCATATGGATATCCCATTCACTCCGGTGGCCCTCCCGTTCAAGGTTACGGAGGCCAGCACCGAGCCGGCCCTCCTCCGCCAAGTGCTCCACAGCAATTCGGTCACGGCGCACCCGATGGTTATACTTTCCAGTATTCCAATTGTACCGGTAAACGTAAGGCATTGTTGATCGGTATCAACTATTTCGGCCAGAAGGGTGAACTACGTGGTTGCATCAACGATACCAAGAACGTCTCCCAGTTTCTGATCGAGCGCTACAACTTTAAGAGAGAGGATATGATAATCTTAACTGACGACCAACATGACCCCATCATGGTGCCGACCAAGACGAACATACTTCGAGCTATGGAATGGCTTGTTTCTGGTGCTCGTCCTAATGATGCATTATTCTTACATTACTCAGGTCATGGTGGACAGACAAAAGACGAAGGTAAGATAGTCTTGAGGCAACTCTAAATATGAATAAATTGTTCATTTTAAATCACAGATGGAGACGAGGAAGACGGTTATGACGAGGTTATCTACCCTGTCGACTACGAAACTGCCGGCCACATTGTTGATGATCAGCTTCATCATGTAGTCGTTAAGCCTCTACAGGCTGGTGTGAGGTTGACAGCAATCTTTGACTCGTGTCATTCCGGTTCGGTTCTAGATTTACCATACATCTACTCGACTAAAGGTGTTCTAAAGGAACCCAATCTTGCAGCTGAAGCTGGACAAGGGCTACTAAAGGCGTTTTCTTCCTATGCTTCAGGTGATGCAGCAGGAGCTGCAAGCGCCATCTTTGGTTTTGCTAAGACTGCGTTCAGAGGAGATGACGGGTATAAAAAGACCATCGAAACCAAGGTAAGGAATACCCAAAACTTTGATCTTCCAAGTAAATCCCTGTGAAACAAGTACTAACTATTGGGTTCATAGACCTCGCCCGCAGACGTCATCATGTGGTCCGGAAGTAAGGATGATCAGACATCGTAAGTCACAACGTAGTCGAAATCCAACAATATCGTAGGTAATTAACAGCAATATAGTGCGGACGCGACTATTGCATCCCAAGCAACCGGAGCGATGTCTTATGCTTTTATCACAGCTCTTAAGCAGGACCCTAAACAGAGCTACGTGGAACTACTCAACAGCATCCGTGACGTGCTGGAAACCAAGTATTCCCAAAAGCCACAGTTGTCTTGCAGCCACCCTCTCGGTGAGTTCCTCGAACCCCATAAATCAAATTACGTACTGACTTTTACAGATACCAGCATTTTGTTCGTTATGTGAGCTACTAGAAATAGGATATGTATTGGACGAGGTCAACTTGATGTTGATAGGAAACATACTTCCCTTTAGACTATGTCGCTTTTAAGTTGACAGGGCATACGAGCGGAAATTGACTAGCAAGGCGTCCTAAAAGGAGACTAAGATGCATAGTACAATGTGATTTACAAAACCATCTAAGTCACATACCGTAGAGGGTTTATCTCGAATCACTTTTATATAGCCGGTGTCTAAAGTTTTAGTGATGAAAACTTTTGAAGTGTCGTCAAAAAGCAATTGCCTTGAGCACAACCTCGAACTTACAAGGGCTCAATCGCAAGATCTTGAGTGATAGGTATGTAGAAGTCATCATCAACACACGAAAGTTCTTGTTCCACATTCCTCCAATATCATTTTCCAAGGACGTCTTTAAACTACTGCTAGGTTGGTGGTAACTCATCAAGCTCGAGGACGGATAGGATTATCTCAATTATAAGATTTTTCTATCGTGACAAATAAGGATTAATCACACGTATATAGCTATCACGAAGAAAGCCGAAAGTCAACAATGTAAGACTAAAAATTCGCCCCAAAAAATGATTGACAGGAGCACAGACGCAGCCTCTACTAAGACACCACTAAAAGTCCTAGAGGATCTCTTGCATGATGGTGATGACCTCATCCAGGCCCACAAAGAGTGGTATGTTTAGGTACCTATCTAAAGCTACGAGATTTTACAAATGTTCACCTAGATCAAGATTATCACATTCCGAATAACTTTATCTCTTGCAGTTCCAGCATTTTATCTACCATCTTTGAGGTTACGAACCTCGGACATTTCGAAAACCGGGGACACCGAGGATACCGACAACACCGACGGCAACTCTAGTAGAGCTTCCTCTCCGAGAAGTAGTAGCTCTTCTCAATCAAAGGTCGTCTTCACGGCACCGAATGGGGGGCATACCTAAACATAGATGGATGTCCCTACTCATAATGACACATTCTGATTCATACCTATTTCATGCCTAGACCTACTGACCTACAGGCTAAAATGGAGACCAAAGGCAAGGATCTCATGTAGGTATCCATGCGACACACACGGCCTGAACCCCATAGTGCATAGTGACGCTTCGCTACCCGAACACGCTACTTAGAGGTAAGTTGCTCGAATATATAATCCTTTGAAAGGATTATTTTCCTACACTCTTATCTTGGCCTCCCAGTGTGCGTGTCTTCTATGTATTAGGTATATACATCTGTGTATAATCGAAATCATTTTGTTCTGTGTTATAAGTTCAGTTACAGTTTGCCTATTAACTATGGCTGACGGAAGCATTGATACTAGCTTCCAAGCTTCTATCGATGCTGGCACGATCCGTGGTGCTATCATATGCGCTACCGACGCTGAAGGCCACTTCACCTTCGAAAAGACAATAGGAGAGCGTACATTGCTATCTGGAGAGAAGCGACCTCACAAACTTGACGACGTGCTATTCCTCGCTTCGGCTAGTAAGCTGATTACTACCATCGCTGCTTTACAATGCGTAGAGGATGGGCTTCTATCACTTACCGGCGACCTTTCATCCATTGCGCCTGACCTTGCCGCAAAACAGGTCATCACCGGGTTCTCTGAAGATGGAGAAACACCTCTACTTGAGCCACAGATCCGTCCTATCACACTTGAAATGTTATTAACTCATAGCTCTGGTCTCGCCTACCATTTCCTTAACCCCCTCATCGCTCGCTGGCGTGAGAAGTCCCGTGTGGAGACCAAAGCTTCCAACGAGAACGACAAGAAGACGGTTGAGGAGTTATTCGATTATCCATTAAGCTTCCAACCTGGTTCCGGCTGGCTGTACGGGTCGGGGCTCGACTGGGCTGGTCGCATTGTGGAACGTGTGACTGGCAAGACGCTGCTCGAACGTATGCAGGAGCGGATTTTTAGCCCGCTCGGTATTTCAGACGCCCAATTCTACCCGGTGACTCGGGAGGATCTACGCGCGCGCCTTGTCGATTTAAACCCCGATGATCCAGAGGCTCTGGGTCGCGCCGTGCTAGGCGGTAGCGGCGACATGAACAAGAGCGCCCAGGGCGACTTTGGAGGTCACGGTTTATTTATGACAGCTCCAGACTACGTCAAAGTGCTACACTCGCTACTGGCCAATGACGGAAAAATTCTCAAACCGGAAACAGTTAACGACATGTTTGAACACCATCTTACCCCGGAAGCCACCGAGAGCCACCGAGCCGCGCTGGTCAGTCCCATGGGCATATTTTTCCGTGTCGGCACTACAGTTGATGCGTTATCAGGACATGGACTGGGCGGCCTGCTCACATTGCAAGACATCGATGGCTGGTATGGAGATCATACCCTCACTTGGGGAGGCGGCATGACTTTTGCTTGGTTCATTGATCGTAAGAACAACCTGTGCGGTGTTGGCGCTATCCAGGCTACGGTTACCTTAGACGCCGATGCTATGGAATCGCTGAAGCAAACCTTCCGCCATGACATCTACCGCAAACGCGCCGCTTGGAAGAAGGAGCAGACTTCGTGATGTAAAGGTCCATCATTTCGTTAGATCGGTGTATACTAGGTACTCTGTCAAATCCATGTCATGTATGTAGCGCAGTGTCCAACGCCTCCCACTCAGTTTGAAGATATATAACTTCATCAATCCTCATAGACAGAAGCGCTGGATTTGACTATGTCTAAAATATTGATACAAGACTCACAATGTCTATATATCTATAGTGGCACGCAAATTATCCATCTAGTCCGTAACTAAAGGGTTTCCGATAAGAAAGGGGTAGCTACCTACCTATATATACGCTTACTATTTATCTTACCAAATGATTAAATAGGTAATGAGTAACTTGTAAGTTTAAAGATACTAGTTATACGTACGACTAACTAGCTTATAATACGATAAAGAGTTCAACTACATCGCTTAGGATAACATACACTGAAAGTGGTTCGAAGGTATTAGACTAACGAAATTTCTTAAGGAATCTAGGTTATTCGCGTCAAAATATTGAGACCAGGACTGGAGTTAAATTATGGTTACTGGTGTTTCGGTTGCGGTTTCAACCTTAATGTATTGACTGAAAGCCAGCTCATCTACATATGTTCTAAGACATATCAACATTCATTCTAAACACCTATATTTACTCGGTTAGTTGGCATGGTCAGGTATAAGCATAATAGAAACTTACCTAAAGCGGTTGCAATGGCTTCTCCCACTCCCTTGGCCGAGCTAGGGTTCTGGCCAGTAATCAATTTCCCAGAGACACGCACTGTCGGACCCCATAACTCAGAAGCCTTATGGAAGCTAGCACCAGTCTCCTTTATTTTATCCTCCAACATAAATGGCATAAGCTTGGTCATACCCGAAGCATCTTCCTCTGCATTGCTGAAAGCGCTGACATCTTTGCCCTTTAGGATATTCTCTCCGCTTGGGAGTGTGACATTAACGAATACAGCAGGACCGTGACAAACCGCGGCTGTGACCTTACCCTTGGCCCAGAACTCGTTGATAAGAGCGATTGAGTCCTTGTCCGTCGCTAGGTCAAACATAGGGCCGTGTCCACCTGGATAGAAGATAGCGTCGAACTCATCAGCACGGCCTAAGAAGTCAGAAATCTTAGCGGTGTTCTCCCAGAGAGACTTTTTGTTGTTGAAGAAATCGATTGAAGATGAGTCGTCTTTGATCCACGGTTGTAACGAGTTCGGGTCTAGAGGCGCGACGCCGCCTTTTGGCGAGGCGATTACGAGCTCGCACTTTTTGGATAGGATTTCGTATGGATGGGCAAACTCGGGCTGGTTTCAAAAATATTAACTCAGGTTCAGCACTATGAGACGAGCGTTGCTTGGTCGGCCGTATACGCTGAGCAAGGTAACATACCAAGTACCACCCAGTCTTCTGCACCGGCTTTCCGGCAGAATCCAGGATTTCTCCATAGGAGGTTAATACAACAAGGACTTTCGGCGCCATGGTAGATGGAATTATATAGGATTGAGTATTGAATTGATAGAGCTAGAAGATAAAGTGTCTTGCGATTTGCGTCTGATAACTCTTACAATCACGACTCGATGGAACATGTTAGAGCTTTTATAGACACCTTGATTCTATGATAAATATGGATACGATTAATCATGATTCTACAGCTATCTTGCTCTGGCATCGAAAGTCCTAAGCTTTATAGCGTATGAATTCGGCTACTTTGACGTCAGAGTGCTCCAGTGTTTAGATATCGAGCCCGAGAAGACATTACATATGCCTATCCTAGGTTAGATGAAAACGGACAACTAAGTAATAGCCAATTGAATTACTGGTTTGATATTTTAGCTGATTTTAGTTACTTATAGATTCCTTGACATCTTCACGTGCACTATGAAGCTATATTCGAACGCTACGCCGCATATATCTTGACCTAAGAAGATCGTTTAGATTCTCGGGGAACAAGCTATAAACGACTAGGTTACGTCATATCTCATTGCACTAAAATGAGAATATAAATCCTCAATCAGTATTTTCACATATGGTACCTACCTAGGTATCAAAACGAAAATCCAATGCGAATGTATAATACTGGCTTGTTCAGACTGGGTATACTACCTATGAGAGATATGGTATTGGGTATGAATTATTTGAAATAGCATGTGAATTGTTAAGAATTTTATATCTGGGGAGTAGTGCTAAATGAATTGAAGATAGTAAATTCTTAGATGCCCTAAAAGTTATGCTAGTTTATTATAAGAACAATATGCTCAATTATAAGGTACCGAACTCGAGGCAAATGAATAATGAGTACCACTGTGTTAGTAATCGATAGTTATTGTAAATTTATAAAGAGAGTACTTAGAATACAGGTCAACATGAAACACCTTTATTTTCTTTTGATAAACTTCGACACATGGCTTAATACAAAAAAGGTACCTAGATATGTATAAGTCTTTATTCTCAATTTTATCATTGCGTATTCGTAGATTCGTCCTCGAGCAAGCTCACCTGATTTCTCTACATGCATGTACAACTGTATCTAAGTGCATGTTGGTAAATGGCGATTGGGCCTTAGCGGAGTCTTGGGTAGCTTTGGGCGCCAATGGGCATGACCTAGCGGCCTATAGTCCACTAAAATAGCCCCTCGTCACCCTTCGTCACCCCTCACATCTCCTCGCTAACTTTACGATTAACCAAAGAAATCGTTAGATTTAGTATATTGTACCCATAATGTACCTAGTACCTGAGATAGGTACCTATCCAAGATGCCCGTTACCCCTCCCCCTCTTCCCTCCCCCTCCATCCTTCCCTCCTCGAACTCTCCGCTATCACCCGGCGGGTCTTCAATGCGTTGTCATCATTAACATCAAACATCAAACGCCATCCCTTTTATTTATTATATTATCTTTCTTCATCCGTGACAACTATTTCATCAACGCTTCTTCGTCAATCTAGTATCGCTCATTTGCGACACTGCTAACTCTTGAACGAAGCTCACATTATCGTAAGCTATTGTATTGCGACGCCACTCGCCATTTGATATTATTGATCTGTCTTTTTGCCTCAACTCATCTCTCTTACTCCCCCCTTGCTCTTCTACGGCATCAGACCTCTTTCAGGGGTTTAATTTCATTGATACTGACTACTTGTCCACCACTCATCAAGCATCAAAGCAAAGATTCTAAAACGAAACAAAAAAAGACTTTGTTGTCCATCCTCGAAGTGATTGTTTTGGACATTATTAATGCCCAAGAAATTCTACCACCTTAGCATAGTCAATATAAGATAGAATTCTCGCAGTTCTTACTTTACCACAAACGCTTCTCTATTTCCCCTATACTCTACATTCTAACCGACACCCTCATCTCTTCGGACACAGTTATTTTATTTGCACTTTGCAACAAACGACAACTTTGGTATATCAACTTCAACACCTTTCCAGGCGCGGTGAATACCTACCCTTGGTCTTTAAGTTACTAAACATCTCTAACCCTATATACTTATAGAAAATGACTTACTCGCAACCAAACATGCAAACCAGCGATGACCTCGCTGCGTTGTTCTCTCGTAACTTAACATTACAACCTCAACCAGCCCAGGTCCCCCAAGAAACACCGCAAGCGCAAGAGCCAGAAATAAAATATTCCATCACCCAACACTACCACCATTCTGCCCATATCGCCCATCAAGACGACTCACAAGCGGAACTCCAGAGGCGATCATCAGAGCCGCCACAAACACAGCAGTTTTCTGCAGAGTCGATTTTAAATTCATATGGTATCGATCATACTGCGCTTTCTGCGGCGCAAATACAGCTCTTCAAGACAGCCGAGGATAATCAAAAGCTGCGTTTGATTGAGCTATGGCGAATCTGCCCCCCTACTGGTTCCCATGAGAACCCAGCCGTTGCTTGGACTAGCACGACGGTCGAACAAGAACAGCTCCTCGCCCAATTGCGCTACGAGAGAAGAATGGCCGAAGAGGAACAGAAGAATACTATGATGTCCATGGATGGTACACCCCTGACACCAGTCCAGACCGGAGACGGACGATGGGTCGCCACATGCGACGTTGAGCCTTACATGATGTCTGGCTACGAGGCTTTAGCTAGACGCGAATATGAAGAGTCCGCAAGACGACAATATGAAGAGGCCATGGAAAGGCCCAAAGATGTTTACAGCCATTTTGGCACCGCTATTGGTGGCCCCAACTACCGTCCAGCGACGGACCCCGTCTACGATAACGACTGGATGAGTAAACAGCAATCCATGGAGAACCAATACGGAATTTTTCAACAGATGGATGATATGCACCTATAGTACCATTTTGAATGTATATATCCTTCGTTAGGTTAGCATAGATCAGATCAGCATAGTTTACTTTGACTAGGTAGATACTACGCAGGGAGACTAGCGGATGCCGTATGTGGGAGGCAAGGGGGATACTATGGACTCACGGAGAATTGCATGCGGACGTGGATATCCATATTGGACTACACATATTTCAATTCATGTCAAGGGACGGAGTTGAGGATATCTCCCCTTTCATAGCCTTTATATCTCTCTTTCCTGTCCCCTTATTTGCATAGTGTATGGCTAACCATTCTTGACTTCCAGAGTCACTCGGAAAGCTTAACTTACTACTCAAGGTATGTGTGTATCCCGCCCCAAAACCATAGCACACATGTATATCTATACGTCCCCCCCCTATCTTCTTGCCCTGGTAGATCTCCTTTCTATCTCATTGTGCTTTCGGTGCACTCGAACCTCGGTAAGCGCAATGACTCGCCAGCTCATTTTCTTTGCTTGATATTTTTGGTCGATTACTGCATCATACTATCCAGTGTAAAGCCTCAATATAGATAGTTTGAATGGAATGAAACTACTTTACCCCTATTCTCATATTGTTCTAGATTGATCAGCGGATATCGTGTTGAAATGGGATCTCTGTCAACTACATTGTAAGAATGGTCTAAATCAATGCCAAGTTCGTGCCAGCTTAACTCAGTGATGTATTTCCCGAATTGTTCAAGATATAATTTATTAGGTCTGAACAATCAACTCCTACAATAGGAACTTTGAGCTGTTGCTGCTTATCATCGGACTGGAACATCTTGAGCACGTGTTTTCTGAATTGAATAGATTCACTTTTATGATCCACCACACAGGTTGCTACATACACCACGGTGTCGGAGGAGCACTGTTTATATATATGCCAACCCTGTCATACGTGTAAAAGCATCCAAGACTCCTCAGCCCCGTCCACCAACCCGCCCTTACTTCCCAAGTCCCGATTCTAGCGTTTCTTGTTCCTTTTCTTGGCCTTGTTGCTTTGTTGTGCTTGGCTACCCGTGACCTTCGGCTTACTGGGTAGGTCCTCGACGCTAGTCCCTAGGAGCTCGAAGTCTTCGGCCGAATCCGTGGAGGGTGTTCGCTGCGGCTGGTCGGATGAGGAGTCGTCTACGAGATCATCGGCGCCTTGCCTTTCGTCATCTTCGTCAACTTGATCGTCTAGGTCGTCAGTGGGCTTACGGGAGCCGAAGACTCGGCCTACAGTGGCTGAGTAGGCCCAGATAGGGAGTTTGACGAGTGCGGTATCCTTGACTGTAGGCGGGGGGAGTTCGTTGAGCTAGAATATATACGGGTTAGTTACTGGGCCCATGAGAAAGATGAATGAATTAGACTTACGTCGAGAAGGAATGCCTCTACATTGCCATCTGCGTCCTCTTGCTCCAGGTACACATCGCCGAGAGAGTCGACAACTAGGACTTTACCATTCTCAGCCACGACACGCTTCTTAGCGCCTGTTGGGCCGGCTCCTTGGGTTTGCGGTATTGGTGTTGCGCTTCCACTCGCCTGCTGCCCGGGGCGTCCCCGACCGCGTAGCTGGCGTCTTCCTCCCTTGGACGATTCCTTGCGTTGGTCCCGCTCCTGTAGCCGCCGCTGCTTGCGGTTCATCGCCATCGGGGGTTGTTGGTCGTCGTCTGCTGGGGGTGCTTGAGGAGGCGGTGTAGCGGTGGTAGGTGTATCGACACCTGGAATTTCGAGGTTGTCACCCCAAGCGGCCTGCCTTGCGAAGTTGATATACCGCTCAACGAATTCGCGTTGCCTTTTCCAACTCATGTATAGGGCTATGTAGTGGAAGCCACCGCCGCCCACGAGCAGGCACCCGAATAGCACGGTGCCTAGCCCTGGCCGATAACGGCTGTAGTAGTATTCAGTACCCTTCCATACAGGGAACCCGTTAGACATGAAATGATCATAACGGGCACGACCAGAGCCTCGAAGAATGTTTGCAATAATAGATAGACGGGCTTGACGATCGCCGGCAGCTTTTACAGCAGCCTTGATTTCGGACTGTGTAGGCTGCTTCGTGACATGGACACCAGGCTTCTTCCCCTTGCCCTTTGCCTTAGCCTGCTTAGCACGCTCGGCCGATAACTGTTGCTTGACTTTATCTGGATGCAGCTCACGAGACTTCTTGCGGTAAGCCTTGCTGATCTCGTCTTGGGTGGCGCGCGGTGAGACACCGAGGAAATCGTAGAAGGTGACATTGGCACCCTCATACTGGGAGATCTCGTCGCGCAGACGGAAGATCTCGCGATCTTCTTTCGTCCATGCTGCAGTCAACGGGGTAAGGAGGGCCAAAAGACCCATAGAAAGGATGGAGAACCTCATCGTCGCATGTAAATTCTGATCGGAGACTGGCTCCGAGGTGGGCTAAAAAGAGACCGATGGGTGAAGTCGAAGGTAAATTATTTTTTACCAATTCACTATTGGTTAGATGCCGGATGGTTACGGCTTGCCGTAGTGTGCGGTTTGTCGCATCAATTACGTCGTTCGTGATACGCGAACTGAATTGAAGTTTGCTAACTTTGGATAAATGTTATTTGGTGGAAATTTTTATTATTATTATTATTTCGTTTTTAGACCCATGTCAATTGCAAGGTGTCGACAATGTGGTGGGGCCCAAAATAAGTGGGTATAATCGTAGCATTATGTAATATCACTTTTATGGTGCAGTAACGGGTTTAGTGATTGATAAATGTAATTAACCGTAACATCTCAGTGCACTAACAAACAGATACGTACTCCAAAGTCCAATATTCTCTCCTTTTAATAAAAGGAACAGAACTTCATGACACCATGATATTCTGTCCCTCTAGAATGATATACTGCATGAATGAAGATGGTCTTAACTAGGTCTACCATGTAAGTACCTAAAATATTCATATTAAACGATTAGTGATTCGTACATAATACTAGCATATCGAATTACAACCCCTTTATCAAGCTACACCAAGCTCTAACTCCTTTATACACTAAATTATCCATTCCTCCAGGATTTAAGGTAAAGTTGGCGGTGAGTGTTTGATAAAGGTAGGAAGCATGTAAATATATTTCTTACTAGCCCTCGCTAATCCATGGGTAAGGTCGCCATCTCTCCATCGTCTCCGCGTTACTTTCTTAGGATTTGGAGATATCTCCAATCGGAAAGCTGCCATCATGAATGGAATACTTCTATTTGGAGCTATTGAAGGCCGTGTCGGTAAACCTTCCCGAGGTCAAAAGAACCATCGGCGCCGCATTATAACTAGGAACGACACTACCTGATCTAGAAGGGCCGTCGACGACCTGGAACTAAGTACCGAAGTGCGGGGAGAACTAATATGGAAGCGCTTGATCAATAACAGGGAAAATGCGAAGATCGTGTCGTTTTCCGCCGCGGTAGTGCTTCAACTCCACACGTAGTATATAGCTATTATTGAAAAGTTGGGGTAGCTCTCAGACCCTAGATAGTAACCGTACCGGGTTATTAAAATGCAAGGTGGCAGCATGGCTTTTCTCTAAGCTACTCCCCTTTCTCAATTTGGGGTCCTCTAGATCTACATTTCTTTCGTCTCTTGCTTAGAGTCGGTAGAATCATGACGGCCGTCGCGAAGATAGCAGAGACGTCCCTCTGGGCGAATCGAAAATGTTTAGCTATATGTGCTATCGTGGCCATAGCAAATATGCAGTACGGGTTGGACTCGGCAGCAATTGGGTCTCTACAGGCGATGCCAGGCTTCTTAGAAGTATTTGGATATAAGGATCCGAGCCAACCAGCTGGATATGCGATTGAGGTAAGCCACCCAGTCAGAATATCGTGGTTTTCATCATAATAACCAAGATACCTATCCAGGGAACCTTCCAAAGGCTCATTGGGTCACTCTTAACATTAGGTGCTTTTGTATCCTCACTTGTCGCTGGAGCGTTTGCCCATTTCTTCGGTCGAAAGGTTGCACTATGGCTTGCGTGCGTTTTGAATGCAATCGCATGCATTATCCAGATCTCAACTACGGATAAAGTAGCGGTTTATATCGGCCGACTTGTTCTCGGGCTAGCTAATGGGTTTCTGGTGACTTTTTCAAATATTTACGGTATGTACAAGCGTAGCATCAAGAAAAGCATCAAATTTCTTTTATCTAGCGGTTCACTCCCCTTTTTTCTCGAGATGACTAACATATTTGTAGTATGTGTTAATTTCAATATTCCATATCAGTTCTCCATCTTATAATCCACATCAAATAATTTTGAATATCTTGATGTTCGCTCTTGTGTACTATATTAACATTTAACAGACCGCTGAAGCAGCTCCGGCCCACCTTCGGGCTGTCATGGTAGCACTCTTCTCAGAATGGGTCAACATTGGGAGCATAATAGGGGCAGCCGTGACGAACGCTACGAAGAGCCGTTTGGATAAAGCATCTTACCAAATACCGCTTGGAACTCTCTTCATCGTACCGACGTTCCTAGCCTTAGGCCTTTTCCTCGTACCCGAATCACCTCGATATCTTTTGTACAAAGGAAATATGGAGGCGGCGAGAGAGTCATTAAAGACGCTCAGAGGGGACTCACTAACTCCCGAAGCGTTTGAGCTGGAATGGGTTGAGATGGTTAAAGGTATCGAAGAGGAAAAGCAAGCAGCTAGAACAATTGGGCCACTAGACATGTTTAAAGGTAGGAATTCGTATTACTTCCTCTATCAGTATGTAAGAGATACTGATCGATGAAAATACAGGGACCGAGCTAAGACGCACACTTCTCTGTTACGGCATCATTGCTACACAAACAGGAGCCGGTTCATGGTTTATCATCAGCTACTCAACTTATTTTATGATTGTTGCCGGGTTATCAGTGGACGATGCCTTCAAGTTTTCAGTCATGAATACCTGTCTGGGTTTCATTGGTGTTAACTTCGGCATGTACCTGATGCGCCACGTCATGGGTAGACGAACTATTTTGATGACAGGCGCTGTGACCCAGGGGCTTGCAATGTTGGGAATGGCAGTCTCCGCGACTGTTGCATATGGAACACTCTCCGCTCGAAACTGCGTCATTGCGTTTACTGCATTGTATCAATTCTCTTACAATGCTTTCGTTGGAGACGCAACATACCCTACGGCTACGGAGGTGGTAAGCACTAGGTTAAGATCTTGGTCTGTTGGATCAGCTATCAGCTTAGGTTACTTCCTAGCATGGCTTACGGGATTCTGTTCGCCATATTTTATCAACCCAGAGGATCTTAACTGGGTAAGTAGCTTTTAGGACTATGGTTTCTACTCTACCACCGTATACCTATAGGTTACGCGACTAACGTAAATCATTAGGGGGCTAAATATGCTTACATATGGGCTGGCTCGAATCTGTGTTGCTTGGTGTTCTTTTACATTTGCGTCCCAGAGACGAAAGGGAGAACACTGGAAGAAATCGATGAACTATTTGCTAACCAGGTGTCCGTTCGAAATTTCAAGGCTTTCAAGACTAATATCGTAGCCGAAGCTTTGAAGGAATTGGAAACTCGTGTTCCGGGATCAGAAAAGAAGTTGGCTATTGCGGAGCATGTTGACGAGCCTTAATTATAGAGTGTCTTGTTGGGATTATGGTCACGTGACAATGGCACCTAGCATTGTCATGTGACCAAGGGTTGGGCCCCACCCACACCCTAATCCAATTGTATTTAGCTTCCCCCACTTTTCGTAGATCTTCCTCTTTCATCATCATCAATCAATACAATAGGACATCACTTTTACTACAAGGGTAATTGGTGATACAAAGTAACTGAATCGATTCCCCAGTCAATCCAACAGTCTAATTATAGTATGATATATGGTGGTGAATTATACTAGTTTGATACGGCAAAGAAGATATCTTATACAAGTACCTGAGGCTATGAAAATATTTATACAGTTACCTACCTCTTATGTGTATTAATTTGAAGTGTGACTTTGACTGACTGAGTGGCCAGAAATACTTGCTTTAGGCCGCTAATAAACGAGTATAATAATGTTCTAACTTGCATTTACCTAGATTAGGAGGTACTCAACCTGACAGCCTGATCTATATGCGATTTCGGAAGATAATGATGGTTCTATTCGTCTATATTCCGATATATGTTACACTTATTTTCGGAACGACCTTACATATAGACGGTGACGGTAAACCTTTCCCCTCTTTTGCGGGCTCATAGGTTCCCCCGACTTTCCCCGAAAGAGAAACACGTTATGCAGATGTGCACTAACACTAATCATATTATGAGCATCTCCAAAAAATGATGTCGCCTTTTTCTTTCATGTGGACAAGTTTGTGTTACAATCGAAGTCTTAGTAAATCCATATTAGGCGAAGGATCTGAAGTCAACCAGATTTCGACCGCGTCATTACTTGGCGAATGTTTTAGATATGAAGAACTAATCGTCAAAAAGGTTCTTTGTAGAAATGAATTTAAATTTTTAAGGAAACGGGGCGTGTTGCCAGGCGGCTCACTTGAACTAATACTACTGTATTCCTCCATCGGGGTTAGCCACGCCGCCGTTGAAAGCTAAACACATTTTAGAGGTAAGATAGAGGTTGGGAGGGTAGATAGGTGGATTATTATCACCAACTTGAATAAAATGCAGATTATGTACCTAACCTACCTAACATACCTTCTATTGATCAACTGTGTTAGGTACCTAGGTAGGTACCTAGGTATGTAGGTTGGTTAGGTTGGTAGATAAGCCTACATGACTTCAAGTCGGCCTTCAATACCTTCTAATTGTTCCGCGCTGACAAATGATAGTCTTTCATTGTGATGTCTCCTTATGACTTAACCGCTTAATAATTGAGCAACATAACTTAGCTTACAAATAACGAATGATTAAAAGGTACTCTATGAGCGAAATAAAGACACTACAAGGACACCAACCTCGGTACTACTCCAAATTATTGTTAATATTGGAATCAAGTAAATCAATAAAAACCGTCTCAAGTTTGATTCAGTAGTAGAACAGAGAAAAGTCATTGATAATATACGAATAATATACCAACAATGGCAAAGGTTCCTGATCTCAACATACCCGCTTCGACGTCTACCGTCGATGTGTCCATCTTGAATACTAGTGGTACGATTCGCGGTCTCAGCCCTACCTTTTTCTTCGGGCCCAAAATCGAAGGCCATGAATATCTCGCGGGGCCTTGCTATGCCTTCTTGATTCAGCATCCGGTTTCTAAACGGACCCTTGTGTTCGACCTCGGTATTAGGAAGGACCTTGAAAATCTCCCGGCGTCAACACGAGCAAATTTTGACGCCATGGGGGTTACCGTAACAGTACCGAAGCATGTCCGCGAAATACTTGATGAGGAAGGAGTCGATACTAAAAGTATCGAAGCTGTAATTTGGTCCCATTCTCACTTCGACCACACGGGAAACCCGGCCACGTTCGAGCCTAGCACTACGCTGATCATCGGTCCCGGAACAAAGAAGGCTGTCTTCCCAGGATACCCGGCTGACCCGAACTCCCCATATCTCCTCGAGTCCGATCATGCGGGCCGTGAGGTGAAAGAGCTCGACTTTTCCAACTCTAATATAAAAGTTGGGAAGTTCTCGGCCATCGACTATTTTGGAGATGGTTCATTCTACTTGCTCGATACTCCAGGTCATTGCATCGGCCACATTTGTGGCTTCGCACGCGTGACTAGCAACCCGGACAGCTTCATCCTAATGGGTGGAGACGGAGTGCATCACGACGGCGAGCTGCGACCTAGCCATTGGCACCCCTTGCCGGACTCCATCTCGCCACACCCGTTCAGTCCTGTGACTGCAGCACCTTGTCCTGGTGAACTATTCCACAAAGTTCTTCGTGAAGGCAAAGATGAGCCGTTCTACCTTCCAGCAGAGGGTCCGTTCCACGAAAATTCGTTACTGGCGACAGAGACGATCAAGGGGTTACAAGAGTTCGATGCGCACGAGGAAATCTTTTTCGTTCCGGCTCACGACCAGTTCCTTATTGGCGTAATAGACTTCTTCCCGAAGCCTGCCAACAATTTCTTGGAGAAGGGCTGGGTAAAGAAGTCTAGATGGTTATTCCTGGCGGACTTCGCCAAAGCCGTGGGGCATGAGGGTAAGATAGAGAGTACTGGAGATTATACTCCGCTTCCAAAGAATAAATAGGGAGGATTCGTCAAAATCCTATGGGGGATAATTCGGATGTTCTGAGGTATTAATATAATAGCAGTAAGGTAGCTTTATTGAATGAACTGTCCACTTCCGCAGATTTTGCAGTCATGGAGGAGATAAGCTACCCCTTTATAAAGTAGAGACCGTCCACCAAGGTACTCACGCAACCACACCAATATGCGATTTGTAATACATATATTTATATTCGTAAGACTATTTCGGTTACATATGCCGCTGCATAACAGAAGGATTGTAAAAATAACCTGAAAGTCCCTCGTATAAAATCTTTAGTTTAAATGCTAAGTGTGCCTAAGCGATAAAATAGTCATACTTCATCTAATGGTTTTGATATTAGACAATGATTATTAAAATATAAATAAACTTACAACCTGTTATCCACTTTATAAAAAGTGAGATACGTGAGAGGCATCAATGTCTGGAAGGTAGCCCCTCCATTCCCACCCCGCATTTACGTGGTGAAGCATCAGCATAAAATATATCGTCTATTTTCATATCTCAATTTTTAGACATCGAAATGGAATCCTCAGGAGGTAGCTTTTCGGTATACCATATAGGGATTAGACTAGAGTTGGAGGCTAGTTATGGAATCAGTATTTTAATTGGTCTTGTCGTAATTTTAATAAAGTCTGAAATATGGTAGGGATGGTGTGTGGTATACCGTTCGTTGTCTGGTGTGGTTTTGGCGTAGGGTATCATCATCGGGAGGCTCAATCCGATGCTGACGGTAAAGTAGTTTGGTACGGTTGTTGCCTGTCTAGCCGCCTTGTAGGATGTCTATGCTCATACTTGAGATCACTTAGTGGAGCATATTAATTCATGCACAGAATGGGTAATCCGTAGCCGGATGTCGGATGTCTATGGAGTCTACACGTTGCGGACTAGGCGAATATATAAGTGTCCCGAGAACCTCTAATGCGAATAGTGCCCGGAGTAGGATTTAAGACATTATCATCCTTCCCCTTGAATTATGGAAACTCCATTTTTCTCTATATGATATAGGTCGTGGCCTTTTGGTATGGAATACTTAACATAAATGATAACATGATGGTATATGGTACACTCCTATCTTCCAATATTTTACCTTCATAGCGTGGCAATGAATACTAATGTATGTTTATTGATAGATCCCACCAAGTCCGTTCATATCACCAAGTTCGTGAGACATCGGCTGCTGCATATCAGGCCAGACGGCCCCATACTGACCCAAATTTGATGCATGCTGCTCGGATTGCCCGGATAATGCTGCCGTCGTCGGGTCCAGTCCTAAGTTAAATGGAGGCTCCGTCGCTACATTACCGGTCATAGTATTGACCATATAAGAGAAGTCCGCACCCATTCCAGGAGCCCATTGGCCTTCAAAGTTCGCGAATCCTTTCTGGACGTTTGGATCTATATGAACGGGATTTCGCGGCTCGTGCTTACCCTGAGCAATGATACCCATTATCGCCGATTTAATGCGCTCGAACACGTCCCGGTATTTTCTGGCAGATGGATAACGTTCTGTGACGATATACAGAAGGATCTGACAATCGGTCAATGAGCCCTCGACACTTATAAAATCTGAAGGAGCCAGCCATGCACAATAGATCAAGGTTAGGCCTGTCGTATGTTAGTATGCTTGCTTGCGCATGAGCGATGGGTGAATTATGCCTACCTGCTAAGAAGACGGATTGTATCGACAAAGCCGAGAAGCCTATTGGAAAGGCGTGATGCAACCGTCGATAATCCGTGATGATCCCTATGCAAGCATCGGCGCACGTCTTTAAGTAGAGAATATTCAGCGGGTTTTTAGCTAGCTGGGGATATAATAAGAACCGAACGCAACGGTAATAGTGAAGCGTATATAGCTCAGCGCCTTCGTATGCGTCCTCCTGCCGGTGCACGTAGTGCATTGTATCGAAAGGGATGGCGGCTTTCCATGAGTTTAGCCTATCAAGGAACGCATTTATGGTATCATCGGAGACATCGCTTGGTCGATCAACTCTGTAAATGTCATGTTGGATTTCCGACTCGATTTGTTTGAGTCTTGTCCGATGGATGAAAGATGTTAGCGTATTAGGGGGATTGACAGGAATATTGCTAACACGCATCGCAGCTTGACGGATAACCTCATCGTTAATGATGTCTTCATTAATGTCAAGGGGCAATTCCGCATCGATATCGCGGTCCGATATACTAGGTGGACGTCCAACAGCGATGGAAATATCCCGATCAAGAAAATATGCCGTCCAAAATCGGCGTTTATCCATTTCGCCCTCGACGCTGGGCTGTTGCCTTCGTTGTCGTCGATGCAATCCTAATTCTATACACAATCTAACAGCAGCTCCCACATATGTCCAGGCTCCCGGATCTCGAGGAGCTCTTGTGCAGTATAACGCCATGAGTAATAAGTAATTAATAGTCCGAGAGTCGCGAAGACGAAGCATAGGTTCCAACTCTTCAAAAGCAAGGTCATAATGGTGGTCACTAAAAAAATGGCCCATTTCACCAGCTGACTCTAGCCATCTCCCACTGACCGCATATACAAGATGTAGAATAGCTTGCTCGTATTCATCTGTGAGATTATCCCTATTATTATGAAGCTCCACTACCTGAGTGGAATGTAGCACGGGGTATCTTGTAGCTATATGGCGGAAGTAACCATGAAGAAGTCTCGCTGCAACCTGAGGACTTAGAAAAGGAACGCCAATGATATCGCCCGCGGTTGTTGAGTAAATGGATTTCGGTGCTGGATCGTCTTCGATTTGAATTATTGATCCCTCATGAGAAGCCGAGATGGAAGATTTCTGGCTATGTACAAACGAACTGAGCACGCGCCCTATAGTGATATTTGATGATGCCCCAATATAGTGACCAGATGCGGAAAGTGATAAGTCCCTGACAGCGAGTAAGATATCATTGGAATCATCCTCATCATCCCGTGGGACTTGTTCAGGCACTGGTGCCGGTGCTTGGTTATGTTGACTAACTGGTGTCACTGTGGTATTTCGAGATGACGACGTTGAGAGCCCTAAGCGTCCCAGATGACCATTTTCGACATCATGGTGACCAATCGACGTGAGGTATGCTTCAAGCTCAGCGATACGATTCTCGAGGGCCCTGATATAAATCTTTTTCTCGCCCGCTGCTGGAACAAGTGGGACAATGTACACTGACGATGAATTAGATTGTGTGTGAGCGTACATGTGAGGTAGCAACGTACCGCATTTTAATGATAATCGGGAACACGAGGCACAGGCCGGCCGCTGACCATCACACTGTGGCGAAAAAAGTATTAGACAAGGCTGATTCATAGAATGGGACGAAATGATAGTTATTCTTACCTTTTGCTTCCTGGTTTTGCACCTTTAGAAAGAGGTAATCAGCGACTGATGGTAGGTATATTAGAGGTGCTCCTGATGTAACTTACCTTTGGCAAGCTAGTGCAACACGCTCACGCTTGGTAGATTTACGCTGCGCCGCCGGTTTGTCCGGAGCCGGAGCGGTTAGCGATATCCCTTGGCCAGTGCCGTTTGTGTCCGGAGAAGACCCACCGGGGTCGATCTGAGACATTTGCTACCGCTGACGAAGAAAAAAGCAATATCGAATCAGATATACAGGGATTTCGGCAAAGCTTTCCTAACAGCAACCAGTTATGATGGTGTCGGAAACAAGCGGGCTGTATAGATGCAAAGTAGAAGCCCGGTGACAGACGTGTACGGTCAATAATTCAGTCAGGGGTGTACAGCCACAATAAGACCGGCCTAATAGAATTCCGAGCTTAACTTGATCTGTATGCGAGTTTTAATATTCCCATCAGGCCTTGTACAGGTTATGGAACGAAGGGAAATGGAAGCGGATATGTGTGCCTATGAGGAACGTAAGCATGAAATAGTTTGGGACCGCGGCCACCCCAACACCTACACACGACCTCCTGGAAATATAATTTCTCGTCCGTTCCGATATCCCCGAGTTCCCCTTAGAGCTAGAAGTGGTAGTCAGCAAGAGCCAGTGGCTAAAGATGACAGAAGTGGCGCATATAAATCTTGTTAGGAAAGTTACTGCAGAATTACTCACTATAGACACGGATTACTGAATCCGACAGGGATAAACGTAAATAAGTGACTATTACGGTCTGAATGTCTAGATCGAATTATAATAATCTCTTTACAATGAATCTGACCTCGGGCGAGTGAAGAAATTTAGATGTTCCGGTAATTGTTAATTGATGACAAGAGGAATTGTCGTCCGTTATTTCGGAGACTTGTCGTACCACGCCCTTCATGATATGTCTATGGCTATGGGACTTATTTGTTGTCACCTGGAGCGACACCATCAATCCACTAAGCAAGTTGTTAAAACAACTATATTATTTTGATGTTGATTTTTAAACATATGGGAGAACGGGAGTAGGGCTGAATGAGAGTTCGTGACTACCCTACCTTACGTAGAGGGTCGGGAAATATTGAGTTGTAAGTGGGCAGATGGATATCAATGCTACTCAATGATGAGCCGTGCACAAAATACTGGACCCCGGATTTGATAGTTCCCCCTGTAGCTGGTGGAATATTTTACTAAAATGTTAAGCTGCTATTATATGCCAATCCATATCCAAAATCCTAGCAGCCCTACTTTGCTTTACACGAGGTATTGCACTTTCGCCAATGCAATCTGCCTGAACTGCTTGGAAAACTACCTAGGTACCTAATCTAAGGTATTGATGTTGTTATTGGTGGCATATTTACTAGCCAGGGGGAAATAGTAATATCACCAAGGTATGAATGATGGTTTGTAATATGACCTTAAGACTCTTAAGCTATAAACATCAACCGTTAATGATTAAGTGCTTACAAGTGATGCCATTTTATTCCTTCTGTTTAGCACTTATCCAAGATTGGACTAGTTAAGAGGCAGAGGAAGACGCGTGTTAAACAAAATCCAAAGCCCGAGCTTTATTCGTCTCGTTTTAATCCGGGGACGGGAGTCATACATAATTCCGGTTACGTTACGGTGGGTTTCCCCGCCGCGGGCGACTTGCATGATATAGCACATATGTATTGGACGTCCTTTCTATGTGCGACATGACCACGATGAATGCATGGCATTAGTCTCTATCTATATGCAACGGTCTTTCGTAATAAGGCTTAAGTTGTTGATCTGTCATTGTCCTTTATAAGGAGATAGGGAGGGTGAAATATCCACTGTCTTATGATAGGATCTGCATCGTAACAGAGCAATATACGCGTGTTCTTATTGCATTCCTCTACTTTTCTCTTGTCGCGGTTTTTTACTGGCTATTCGACATTCTAGGATACGTTTACTGTTACTGATTGTATTTACATACCTAGACGTGTCCATAATTACCCTTGTACGGCTTTACAGGGCTGTATCTATCGGAACTTGACTCCCGTTAGTAGGCTAGCGGGCGGCCCGAGCCTGCTGCAAGGCGCTTTTTGGCGCAATATTTCCTATTCCCGCCGTTTGTAGGCCATAGATGTGCTCTAGAATTGCTGTGTAATTCGGGTGTGGTAAATATTATCTGCTGCAACTTCATGATGCTTTTTCTTCCCTTTACAGTATGAATCTAGAGAAATGACGGATTTACGTTTGTTTTCTATGTAAAACCTGGTTCCTCAAGTTGGGAAAGATGGGCTATTGTCGAAGCCGAGCTCGCCCCGAGTCTGAAAGCGTTCTACTACAAAATGCCATCTCATTAAGGGGACCACAACATCCTGTGACTAGAAGAATGAAAGAAAATTGCGATACTGTAACCTCATTCACAAGGGATTTCAGTTCACTAACTAATTAACTTATTCACTGATATCAAGTTTGAAATATAGGAGGTAGTCATTAACGACTGGCTAGCCCCTCTTCATACGGTTGTTGTGATTTCTAGTACGCTCTAGGGAAGCTCTATCCTCTATTATCTTTACCTCAACGACCGAATTCTAGGATGCGAAGAGATAGGATAACGGATTCGATGGCGGAATTGTCAAACCCGACTTCTCCTACTGTTGCTATCCTTGGCGCTGGTATAGGTGGTTTGGCCCTTGCTATTGGACTGATAAAGCGCAATGTTCCAATTACCATTTATGAAGCTGCAGATCATTTCTCAATGGTAGGCGCTGGAATTGGCTTGGGACCTAACTCCTTGAATGCCATGGATGTGATTGATCCAAGGTTCCGAGAGAGATATGAAAAGGTGAAGACGCAAAACGAGAGGCCGGAGTTCGAGCATAGCGTCTTTGATGCATTATATGCCGAGGAAGGCCTCGGCGAAAAGCGGGGGTGGACCCGAGGTCTCATCGGTGCTCCTTACTTTACGCGGAGTAGTGCTCACCGCCGAGACTTGTTAGATATCATGGAAAGCTTCATCCCTGAAGGGATCGTCAAGTTCGGGAAGCGAGCCTACTCAGTTGAGCAAGTAGACAGAAAAGTCTTGATAAGCTTTCAGGATGGCACAGTAGAAGCAGTCGACGCAGTTGTGGGTTGCGACGGAGTGAAAGGAATCACTCGTCGAACCGTTTTGGGTGGCATTGCGCCTGAAGAAGTCCAACCGACGTTTTGTGGTATGTATATCTATAGAGGTATTATACCAATGCAAGACGCAAAGAAAATATTGGGAAATCATGCAGGCGATGCGAAATATTTTATGGCTAAGAGGAAAGCTGTGGCCGTCTATCCTATTTCACAGGGCAGAGAAGCGAATTTTGTATTCTTCGTTTCAAAGCCTTGCCCTTGGACTTTTGGGGATAACGCCGTACCTTGTACAAAGGGGGAGATGCTGGATGATCTAGAGGGCTTCGATCATAGACTGCTAAAACTTTTAGACTACGCTAGACCTCTGAGGTGGCCGACGTGGCATCATCCCCAGACATCTACATTCTACAAGGGACGAGTGTGCTTATTAGGTGATGTTGCGCATGCTTGCAGTCCTCACCAGGCTGCTGGAGCCGGTCAGGGATTAGAGGATGCCGCCATCCTCTCTCATCTACTTGCTCTGGTAAAGACTCCCGACGAGATAGAGGCCACATTTCAGATATATGACGCAATTAGACGGCCAAGGGCGCAGAAAGTCGTTCAAACGAGTGCCGAAGCCGGGCAAATTTACACATGGCAGGCTCCAACGATCGAGGATGACATGCATAAGATTGTTGAAAACGCGAATCAGAGGTTGCATTGGATTTGGCAGCATGATCTCGAAGCAGATATCAAAAAGGCTGAATATGACTTTCGCAGGTTAGTAGGGGAACGGCCAGGCATATCACACAATGGTGACCCAGTCAAGAGCGTATCAATTATGAGGCGCGCAGGTTTAGGTACTTCCAACACTATTCAGTGTACATAACTATCGTCTTAAACATAGATCTATCAGATATCAAACTACCTTACAGATGATACTGTGCCGCATCTATGAATGCTCGCGTGTGCGTAGCGGCACAGTGAGCAAGTGGCCTAACCCAGCAGCAAACCATCATATTCTTAATTTGAGGAGTGCGGATGTCTATCTGTTTTAATATAACAATTTATCTATAAAGCAAGCAATATTATATCTCTTTAACCTAGAGATGTATGATCTACTTAAAGAATGTGCATAGCGTAGTGCTCTTATGATGACTTTAACGAATTTAATAGATATTGAAGACTTGGCCCCCTACCGGCCGATAAAGTGGCATTCAGTCGATCCCCGACCCATTGGTTTGGATAGCTGGTTCGGATGCAAAAGCGCGGCACGGATCGCTCAACTAACTTCACGCCTTTGACTAATCTATCCTGTAATTTTAGTATCCCGACTTCTTAACTGAGAATGGTAAGTATAAGCCGAGCGTAGGGAGATCATTGATTATTACACAAAGGCACACTGGCTACGTACTTAGGTATAAACTGTTGACTTGCTGCTCGCCGAGCAAGAAAATACATAGCAACAACGGATGAAAATTATAAGAGGTCATTAGTATTTTATCTATAGGATATGCGGCTCGCCTTATTTATAAGCGATTTCAAGTTTATAAACGCGAGATATTTCTAATCTTTAAGTTATATTGAATATGATATCCATCGACTCATTATGGTTTTTACGTACTGCTTCCCAGCTAGAGATACCGGAGAACGTATGGATTATCAAGCATATCCGACCGTTTTCTGTTGTTGAGCTGATCTAGAATCTTGGCCTTTCGAAAAGGAATTCGCTAATAACCAGGCTGCAGCACACTACCGGGATGCCTATGGGAACCAAGTGAGTGCTTTGATAGGTACCTACCTAGACAGCTTTTACAGTTGATGGTTTAGGTACGCTACCGAGCTGACAGGTTCCATGTTCAGGGCTGCTAGGGTGCTGCGCCCTACCTTAGGAGGTACCTAACCCAATGTATGATCCTTACCGCTTATAAGGAAGTTCTACGAAACAACTTCATTCAAACAACCAATAAATTAAAACATTTCTATCATAGCTGAACGCGTAAGAAACGAAGGATCCATTATAGGGTCGGCCAGTGCTTAACGAATACTTACCGTATAACCTCGTCGGCTAGAAGTGCTGTATTAGGCACATACTAAGTGCCGAGCACGCTCAGACGGGTCGTCCTGCACGTAAGTTACACGTACTCGATGTATGTGTCGCGCGGGTGGTTACATTTCGCATCGAGGCTGATATTCGTCTTTACATACCTAGGTATACACATAATAGAAATATGACAATGCTACCCGCCTCTAGTTTTATCTACTCATGCCTCATTCCAATCCCTTAATCTTCCTATCCAAATCATAAGGCTACTAGGCCGTTACTCTATCCAGCTTCATCCTCTGGATAGTGGCTCCATCATCAGATAATGAGGATGACCGTAACTTCCGCGTCTGTCCCGCAGGAGGACCAGAAGCTACAGGAAAAGAGAGAAAATTCGACAGACAGGGAGGCCGGTATCCTCACCACGGAAGAAGGACGCAAACTGGAACTAGCAGTTCGGTGGAAGCGAGACGTATTAATCATACCAGTTATGGGGGTCCTATATATGCTGCTATTCTTGGATCGGACGAATATTGCAAATGCGCGAAGTTTGGGTATTGGACAACCGAACGGGCTGGAAATGGCCCTGAATATGCCATCCGATGGATACAATACGGCACTGTGGATCTTCTATCTTCCTTTCGTGGTGGCCGAGGTCCCTGCGAACTTGATTCTGAATCTAAATAAGATGCGCCCTGGTATCTTCCTTGGTGGACAGGTATTCCTCTTAGGTCAGCTATCACTCGCTTTATGCTTAGGGTCGGCTCCTCGCTACTCTGGATGTTAACAGACATATATAGGTGTCCTCGGTGTATGTCAGGGTTTAGCCAGAAGCTATGATGGGCTTCTCACGGTCCGTTTCCTGCTGGGTGTCTTTGAGGCTGCTCTTCCGGCCGGTGCGACTTATATGATCTCTATGTACTACACTAGACGCGAGGCAGCTGTGCGCTTTGCCTGGTTTTTCAATTTCGCTCTCGCTGGGCCGTTATTCTCGGGCCTCCTAGCCTACGCCATTCAGAATCTCGACGGCGTCGGAGGTTATGAGGGCTGGCGGTGGATATTCATCCTCGAAGGGCTAATGACGTGTTTCATCTCCGTTTTCGTTATCTGGCTATGCCCCAATTTCCCTCATGACGCGCAATCTTGGTTTCTATCAACTCAGGAGCGCGATCATCTCGTATATCTTCTTGAGGCATCTCGCGGCGCTGAAGCTAAGGGCTCAGCTGCGGATAGTGTTCCTATCTGGAAGGTCCTCATTGATTGGAGAATCCATATTCTAACACTTTGTTTCTTCTGCACCGATGTAACGGCATCATCCATAGCTTCTTTCTCGCCGACAATTCTCACCGAGCTCGGCTGGATGGCAACTACCGCACAACTTATGACGATGCCTGTATGGGCAACTGGTATCGTCTCTACTTTTGTTATTACTTGGCTTACCTCGCATCTCGATATACGTGTACCCTTTCTTCTTATTTGTATTTCCTTGCAGGCTATCGGATGGAGTATCATGGTAGCTTATGTTCCAGAAGCTGGGGTACGATATCTCGCGCTTTTCTTCATGGCGGCGGGAACTTTCCCGCAGATGTCTATCTTAATGGGATGGCTCAGTGCCAACTTGCGTGGCCGCAAGTATCTTGCCGTCGGTATGGCCTGGATGTCCGGGTTTGGCAACTGTGCCAATTTCATCAGCTCGAATGTCTTTATCACTACCGAGAGCCCGCGGTATCCCACCGGTTTTTCCACAGGTCTCGCCTTTACAGTATTAGGTTTCGTGCTAACATGTGCTGCGTTTGTCCTATTGATACTTAGCAATAGGAGGCGGGATAAAACTCGCGAACAAATGACGGACGACCAGCGTCAGAACTACGACGAGCTATATTTCAAGTTTGTCTATTAAATATATATGAAGGAAACTGATTAGCTACCGAGATAGGTCAAAGTAATCCAAGCAACTAATATCAAAGTAGTCTACCATGGTAGGTTAACATATATGTAAGTAATCGACACTTGTTTCCCCACGCACCCATGTTCATAGATTAGGTACCTTTTAGGCCAACCCGTGTCTACGGCATGCGATATATCAGTATGTAAAAATATCAATGATCATGCATGAGTACTAAGCACGAGACATCCCTCAAAATATCTCTGCAGGTCGTTGAAGTCCTCAAGATCACCGACCCAGCCGACATATTGGTCAGGCCTCGCCACCACAACGCATCCTCGCTCTCTGTCTACTCCGTAGTTAATATAAGCATCTCCAACACCCTCATGGTAGCTTGCATCGTCCACAAATACTTTATCATAATCCCACCCGGTATGCGGATTGAAAGGGTGAAGAATCTCAGGGAAATCTCTTATCAAGTCTGTTTCAGTCCTCTTGGCGGAGTGTATTGTCAAAACTTCGATTACCGTGTCCAGTGGTGGGCTAGTAGGGTTGAAAGTACGGAAAAAGCTATTTGGCGCACCGAGAGCGTCGCAAAACTGTTCCACGCGGCTCTTCTGTGGGGGATTCAAAATATTTCCTGCAAAAAGGACCACGCGGAATCGGCCATCGGACTTAAGCTTCTCTTGAAAGTGCCAAGGTCGGGCATCAGACTGGTTAACTACTTTGAAGCTATTGAAACGCATCCCAACAGGGAGGCCGGTGGCTAGAGCCTGCTTCTTCGCGAATGTATCGGCGAAGATGCTTGTGGAGGTCGAACCGCTTAGCTCACCCTTTTCTGGTTCATCCACGACTTTCACAACAAGGTTACTAGGTCCATAGTTGACGATCAGACCGGATGCGAATAGGTTACCTTTCAGAAAGGACTCTTTGAATTCATCCATACTAACACCTTCGGCATCCATAACATCCTTAGCTGGTCTCCCAGAGAATAGCCTGCTAAAGCGATGATCAAAGTTAATGAGGTCGCGAGCTATGGCGCGCCGCTCGGTTTGATAGGTGCTTAAAATACTTGGCTTTGCGATACCTTTAGCGACAAGGGCTACTTTCCAGCCAAGATTGTAAGTGTCGTGCATAGAAACATTCATACCCTGGCCGGCTTTCGGGGAATGTGTGTGCACAGCATCTCCGGCAAGAAATACGCGCTCATGAGAGTCAAACTGTGTGCCAACTCTTTGTCCGATCTACGGAGCATTAATACATATATTCGGCGTAATATTAAATCGTACGTAGGAGAGTATCAACCATACCTGATACGCAGTCCACCAGTCGCAGTATTCATAATCGATTTTATACGGGCTAAGAATCTTTCTGGCAGCATTCAAGATGATATCGGGAGTAATCTTAGACCTATCTGCGCGGCCGGAAGCGTCCGGAGTTACCTCTTTCAACTGAATATATAGTCGGACCAATTTATTTTCGCGAGGGATTACCATCAAGCTACCATTCTCAGCCGAATGAATGGCACATCGCATTCGGATATCAGCTAAGTCAAGTGTGTTAAGGCGTGTAGCTTAAGTCTAATAAGGGGTAAAATTTGCGTTAAGCACTTACGAAAATCAGTAATAGGTATAATGTCAAGGACACCCCAGATAAAATCCGTTGCCTCGCCCTGTAACTCAAAGCCCAAGGTACGGCGAGTCCAGCTGCGTGCACCGTCACATCCGATGACGTACTTCGCGTGGACTATTTCGTCTGTTCCCACTCGTGACTTGCTCTTCCGAATTAAATCGTCCTCGTCGTCCTCGTGCATTAGATTACTCCGGAATAGACCGTCTGAGATCTTGCTTCCGTTGATCTGCTGTTCAGGCGTGGCCTCTTCGTCGGTGAGGTGACGCAACTTTACAGTGACTGGGTAGGAAGACTGATCCTTGACTTTCAGCTCATCGATATCCAGTGACTCGGGAATAACCCCGCGCTCTACTCTAATCGTGTCCTTGGAGTACTTCTTAATATTGTCGAGGAAAAAGCGTTCAATGCGTCCCTGGTGTAAGGTAATCTGCTGGAATCGAGAAAGTCCTACAATTGTATCCGGAATACGATCCGAACGGCGTATCACGCCTTCGGGCCCAGGGTTCTAGACATAGTATTAGACATCACCGCACACTCTTGGGGAGAGCTAATAACACTTACCCACATACATATCTATCACACGTAATGTTAGCAGAGAATTCAATCACTACTATGGGGATTTTACCTCAATCATATGGTTCGCTTCTTTCCATGCCCTATCTGCGAAGCCGAAACTGTCGAATATCTCAAGACTACGACATTGAAGCCCATCTGCTTGTCCGCAGAAGATCTTGGTACCCCTTTTATCAATGATACGAGTTGATACACCGCAATGTGCCATCCAGCAAGCGGCCATCAACCTAAGTTACCACGAGTGTAAGTCTAAGATGGAAAATATCTACTCCATAGAAGCTTCGCGTAACTCACCCTGCTGGTCCAGCGCCGATGATAAGCCTAGCAAGCAAGTTAATATAGGCACCCTAAAAGCAGATATATACATATATGTATTGACGTACACGTCGACATTCGACTCGGGCGTGTGTTCGCTATCAGCCATCTTTGCCAAGTAGTTTGTGTTAACACTTCAGATTGTGATGTTTCTAGGAGGGCGGCGAGAAACTACGATAATTAGGAAAATTAAAGCGCAACAGATGCCGTGCAGATTTTAAACAGGAAATAGCGTCGTGGTAAAGTATTCGGCCATGATTAACAAAACATTACTCCGAAAATTGAGAGTAGACATGTATTCTCCTGGCGTCGATTTACGACATGTCGCTCAGAGCTGAGCATACGTAGCTGCTCCTCACGCTACGTGATCCTGGCCCGGATGCGGGCACACAACACGGCAATGGAAGGCGATCAGTCTACCTAGGTAGGCTAGGTATGTAATACAGCACCCCCGGGGGTTCAATGTAACCCAAGCATTAAAGGAGTATCATTGGTGGTTATTAATGCCATAACAGACATTATCTTAGGTAACCTGAAACCCATTCGTGAAAGTAGATGACGCCCGTTTACGCCCGTTTACGCCACGCAGGATATAGCTGTCACACAGCTGATATGTTAGGTACTTATTGGGATTTTGAAGACAGAAATATTAAGGAAAATTGCTCATGATTGATTGATTGTGTTAAGATCGTGAGATTGTGAGAGATTTCGAGATGGCGAGAATCAGCAATGCACTAATAAATTACACGTCACCTGACATAACTAACTAATCTGACAGTTATTACGTAAATCATTAACCTTATAATTGCATAAATCTTAACTCAATTTCGTTCTTTTAATTCATCTTTCCATTTTTGCAATCCTTGTTGAATCTTCTTTAGCTTATTCGTTTCCGCCCAATATTGTATACGATATAATAACGTTCGGAACCCTTTAAATTCTTCAAGTCTCATTAAAGCAAAACCGGTGAGGAACTTTACTTTATAATACGGCTGTTGCGTATCCTGGCTTATATCTCTCCACATGACGGAAATGTGTGCAAGGTATGGAGTTGTGCTAATAAGGAAAACCATATCTTGGTTTCCGAGTATGGGCAAAGTAGTATCTAAAGATATCCGGCCACTAATAATCGCTTGGTTCTCGGCTTTGATTATGGAATCCCTGTGACCTTTTATTTCCAAGACCATGTATGGAAAACAAAGGTTACTATTATTAGGCCAGAAACATTGGCAAGGATATGTTTCCGATGCCCTTTCGTCTAGATCGGACATCTCAGGTATGCGTGAAGATTTATACCCAAAAAGTATATCAGGCACCGGGATCATCAATGGCCTTCTCCAATTCTGTAAAGAGCGATTTTCAGAAAGAAATGGAACCCTAATATTATACTTAAGTAGACTTGCGGGTAGAGAGGCCTCAGGATCTTCTGCATCTGCGGAAACGGCATGTTCTGATGTCTCGGATTGTTCAAGCTCTTTACAGTTTCGAATATCTCTATCATCACTAGAAGCTGTAAGACTTTGGGGGTTATTGGGATCCTCTGAAGTTTTCGTCTTTCTAACCCCAGTCCAGTTTTCACGCATAAGATCGAAAGCCTTAATAAGTTCATCAACATACTCAGCTTCGTATGTTCCTTCTGTGGCAACATTCGAATATCTCCTATGTATACCGCGTATATTGCTAGGAATGTCATCTATTGGGCAAGCATGTATCTCGTTTAGCTGTCTCTGAACCCACTCTGGAACTTTGGAGTAGTTTTCTCGTATTTCGATCGAATTAAGACTAAGAGTATGTGACCTAAATCTCTCATTCATTAAATCATATCCCTTGCGTTTAACAGATGTAGTCTGGGTAGCCTCCATTGTGATGGAGTCTGAGGTCGTGTATGTCGGATAAGATTTTACTAGAGTTGGTGGTCTCGGGTCGTCAATATCAAGCCAGGCGGCTATCTTGGGATTTTTCCGGGAAATTAATCCCTCAGTAGGTGGTTGAGTGTCGATGTTCTCAACTGGGGATACTTGTAGTGAAGACGTGTTAGGAATTGTTTGGGGTGGTTCTCCCGACCTTGTCCTGGATCCTCCTATAGGGGAGGACTTCAATGCATAATGTGATTTGTGGTATTTCATACGAAGTAAACTAGCATCAGGTGAATTGCTAAGTGACCGCTTTTTAGATTTGAAGTGATCTTCCCGTGTATCATGAAAATTACAGGGAAATGTTTCCCCTAGCCCTGAATTAGGAAGGGGAGGTTGGCTAAGCGATATTTGCTCTTGTCGTACGGTTTGGGAGCTCATGATGAAGCTTAAGTCCGAGGTTGAACAAGGGGGAAGAATGAATATATCACATCGATATAGGGGATTAATATGACTGCTCGTAAAGAAGCTGGCTTTCTAGTAACTTGGTGTTGTATATTATAAGAAGGTGACTAATAAAATGATATAGGACGGCCGGTAAACTTAGTGTCAAGTGCATTTGACAAGGGAAAGTTGATAAATATATACAATTAATAATAGATAAGAAAAAAAGATTATACAAGTTTGGTACAAAGAAAAAAGCTGAAATAAAGAATTGAATTAAGATAAAAAAGATTTGTACGACTTACACCTCTGGGCAGCGGCTCATTGTCTACCTAGGGGTGCTGAAAACACAGTGGTTTTACCGGGGCTATAGACATATTCTGACCTACCTATCTTAGAGATCGGCGAAAACTTAGTATTTGGCATGATATTACATCCAAGTTTAAGTAATTTATTCAAATATTCACCGGACCAGTAGGACAGTCTCATACCCTAGCTAGTCCTCAAGAGTAGTCTAGAAGGCGCCAGTTTATCCTCGCCCCTTATATGGTGTCACTTTACAAGCCACAGAATCTTTGCGAAAGCAAATGTAATAGGTAGCCGTAGCGACGCCACCTTGAGATAGACCCTGCAAATAAAGATGATCGCAACATCAACCCTATGAAAATTGCATTAAGTATATCCTACCATGCTCGTCCTACGCCGGAAACACGGTGAATCCATGCCAATACCCGCACTTGGGTCCAATGGAATTCCACCTCCTATATTAATAAGACCCGCATATATGAACTTTGGATAGAGGGTATACTACAAGTTTCCATGATGAAGAGAATGTATATACCATTTAGTTTTGCTATTTCCTTTTTTTCCTTTTTTTTTCTTCGTCATATTTCTGCGGTGGCTGTTTCACGACATTGGCATGGGGAAACTTTATGATTGATCGCAACCGCTAGCAGGGGAAAATTGGCCGATAAACAAGTATCAGCGGCGGGAATCGAGATCATCAAACAGCTTTAATTTTCAGCTGATGAAGCTCGCCGTTGAAATTAGCATCGTTACACCCTATTATTCTAGACTTCCGTTGGGTTATGAGAAGATATCCACTTCCTTGCGATGTAGTAATGTCCTTGGAGATAACCCCTGAGTAATAAGTTACTATAGTTAAGTGTGCGACATCCCCCAGAACTTTGATCAGTTATTCTCGAACTAGCAATTATTCTACCTTGACATCTCATTGAATATCTAGTTCTATAGCAAAACCATCATGCCGAATAACACTGAACAAGCCTTCATCCGAGAAGTTTGGGGATTACAAGGAACCGCCTACCTTATTGTCGCTCTTCGCTATTATAGCAGATTTGAGATCTTAGGATGGCGAAGTCTAGCCTGGGATGATGCCATCATGTTTATGGCTGTTGTAAGTTACCTTACTCATAGTCGAAATTGGTGTTAATCAAGTTCCTTCATTAATATGTCGTTCTTAGTTAGTTCATACAGCAGAATCGCTCATGGCATATTTTGTTGTGTCTCGCTGGAAAGGCCTTGCCAATAATGCAATGACTGATGCGCAACGTGCAGCCCTTGATCCGCAGTCGAATGAGTGGTATCTACGAGTGAATGGGTCAAAGACTCATGTTGCTGGCCTTATACTCTATACTACGCTTCTCTGGCTATTAAAGGCATGTTGGTTGGTATATTATGCGCGTCTAACGTATGCCAACGAAGATGACTCGAGAAATAATCCAATACTAACTGTCTTTATAGAGAGGGAGTTAACAACATGCATCGGCTGATACGCTTTGGTATCATCATCATTGGCGTGACTTACATATCTTGCCTACTCGTTGCCTTCTTGAAATGTATCCCTTTCCACCATCAGTGGCAGATTAATCCTTCTCCAGGAAGTGAGTATCATGGTTGATATGTATTAAGTTCTCTATTGGATAATGCTAATTGGGGTTTATTAGATAACTGCATGCCTGCAATTTCAACTGTTCAAACTATATTTGTCATGATTACGAATACACTCACTGATTTCTATCTGATGGGTATACCATTACCTGTACGTCTATTAATTTACAGTTAAATTGCAATCTAACTAACATCGTTCACTAATCAGGTGGTGTGGAAATCACATCTTCCCTGGAGAAAGAAGCTCATACTTTTAATCATGTTTAGCGGTGGTTTTCTTGAAATGGCATTTGGTATTCTGAGATGTGTTTCTATCTTGACAGTAAGCCTTCGTCCTTCGAAATTGTCTCCTTTATATATACACCCTGAGTTTTCTACTCTACTAGTGTTGAATAAACTGAAGCTAGCTGCTAAAAAAACTCGATTAAATAGCTCGGCGATATTGACCCTGCTCAGTCAGGCTACTGGTCTGTCCGTGAATCTTTCGTTTCGGTCGTCTTAACGAACATGCCTATGGTATACCCGATATTTAGAAGGTTTATAGAAAAGGGTCTTAGTGCGAGTAGATCAAGAGCCACGAGTCAAGGAGACACCAGGGGTTACAAGCTCAATAGTATGCCGGGTCGCACCGCATCTGCAGCACAAAGGCAGAATCTGTCCGCTTCCGAACCGAATGACACAGCATGGGACTCTAAAGAGCATATAATCGCTGATAGACGCCAGGGAAGCTCTGAAAGTTGCGATGAAGGTTCTTTAAATCTTCCGAAACATCAAACGATTGGGATTACATTCGATGGAAGTGGGATACCTGGGGGATCGGGGAGGGCGGCGGATGAAGGCCATCAGATTATGGTTACCAAAGAATATACAGTCACAGAAGGGTCTAGGCGCGGTTCAAGTACTATGAGTGGTCCAGGCTTCTTGAACAGGTAGTTGGGTAGGTATTGTTTACCCTGAGAAGAGGTAGTTCTGCCCCCCGCCGAATGTACTTTAGGGACTTATAAAGGGACTTCCCCGCTAAATGCAACAGCCACCTAAAATGTGTTGATTAACAGCGCTAATCACCAGTCAGCTTCGAGACATAAGCACTAGAGAATAGTAGACTGAGACCACGTCTAAGGTTTTGGAAAACGGATGATAATGTAGTTACTATTCAACTTGAAATAAGTTCCGATATAACTTAAGATTTGATGTACTTGGCTCCGATTCCCTTCTGGACGGCGGAGCGCTGGGCAATGCGGTCAATCCACTGTAATAGATGCGGGAACTTCTCAGTCTCCTGCTTGGTGAAACCACTCCTTTCCCATCCTTTAACCCAAGGCCATGTCTTAATGTCTGCCACGGAATATTTCCCCTTTCCTTTGCCAGCCAGATATTCCCTCGGCTCACCGGTGTACTTTCCGGAGAGTCTGATCTCAAGGACCTCATAAACTCTCAATGTCTCGTTCCTGAAGCGGTTGATGGCATCTTTCCCGTGTTAGTTCTCTGCTGATACTTTTATACTAATTTGAAAAACCTACATTCAATTTTCTCGGGTGCAACCCGGGTGAAGTGGTTTACTTGGCCTTGATAAGGGGCTCCAGATCCGTGCCAGAAGAAAGTCCATTGCAGCGCTTCATTACTCTCAAGGCCATCTGCGAAGCCGAACTTATTGTCCTTATCTGCGGATTGCAATAAGTACCATAATTCAGCCGACGTCTCATGAACAGTGAAAGGGGGGCTCTGGTTGTTGTCAACCAACACCGGAATGCGCCCGTTGGGATTCAATCTCAGGAACCATTCCTTCTTTTGCTCATTGGTCGAGATATCAATTAGTGTAGTTGTCCATGATGTGCCATATGTCTCGGCAAGTTCCTCTAGGAGAATTTGTACGGCTTGTCCGTTCGGAGTATTCTGCGTGATCAGGTGGAGGCCCTTCGCATTTTTGACATCTTCAGGGGTTTCGGAGATATAAACCTTGTCAGCCATGGTTAAATAATGGAATGATTAAATTGATATAAGGTATATATATATCACTGATGTTGATGAGTAGTGTATGAGTTTTGAAGAGTGTATTTTTGAGAGGAGAGAATACAGATAGATATATTCGGAGGTAGATATATGTAGGCCAGCGTCATGTACCAAATGTATTAGTGAGGGGGTGATGAGGAATCAACGGCATGACGACAGAGTGCGACCATATTGTGAATCAAACATCAGTAACTATATCCTAATCAAGGTTAATTAATAATGCACAACTATATATAATCTCTATTTGTCATCAGTCATCACCAATGTCTTTAATATTTATTTCAACGCTAGGGTATACGCATTGTTGTTGTTCATATACAAAGTACATCGGAGGTATTTTTTAAACGAACAATTGTACACAGCTGTCAAATAGCTTTAGTACAGATGTATGTCGTGCATATGCACGGACCACTCCGTTTAAGTGTCTTAAGGATGGAACCTTTCCCCCCTATTCTTCGACATGGAAGCAGAGGAGTTGGAAGATGATGGTGGTATGTAACTTTCGTTCATCCCAACCAATTATCATATCCATGGTATCGGTATCAATTTGATATGTGAATTTCAAAGTCTTAAGATTTAACAATAATGTCAGTCTTCGTGAAAGCTACCTCATTATCAACGCCCAAGTCAACTATTCGGATATTTCGGCACACATCTATGTTTAATCATTATTATTAGCCTAGGGGGTATCATCGTTATAATTAAACTTTTTAACGTGTGTATAGTGAGTGAAACGTCAGTTTTCTACACTATTTGATATAGAAACATATACTAAGAAGAGATGAAACAAAAAGAAAAAAGCCGGACGCTGTCCGTTTTACATCATCCCCTTTGCTACACCTATCATTAGCAAATTAGCATGTATCATATTCCCGTCGTTTCTCCTTGTATTACTAGGATCCGGAGTAAGTAAGCCAGAAAGAAATGCGTGAGGTAAGCCGCTCAACATAATGAGCCATCGACTTATTAGGCACCTCTTGGGTGTCCGGGATGATTGGTCAATGACATCTCATCCTCAATTCTGTCGAAGGATCTCCCTCTCACTTTGTCCAGTTCGTGGTTGGAAGCTGTCTCTGAGTTCGATGTGCTCTCTATCCGAACATCAACTCTTCTGTGGATTCCGTTCATATCCTTCATACCTTCGAAGTCCTCTTCTGATCCTCGGCCTCCTACAGTTGTTGTGTGGTACGTGTTCATCAGCACGGCATCGTTATGACTATGGTGGATGCCGGATCGTCCAACTTGACTTCGATTCTTTGCGTATGAAAGAGAAGCGTCGTGCTCATTTGTTTCCTCGTCTCCTAATCCGGCCTCTCGAGCGACTTTAGTAATTAAGGTAGCCATGGACATTTCGATGTTGAGTTTCACCATATAAGCGACGGGGTGGAATTGAACGAAGACGATTGGGTTCGGGTGAGACATCAGACAAATGAGCATGACCTTGATTTAATTACGAGTTAGCCTAGTACAGCTTTGAAGAACATTCTTTAGTTGTCACTTACATCCATAAGAATTGAGACAACCATAAGCTTATCGTTAAATTGAGCCAGAGGAGCGTACTTTACCAACCCATGCTGCTCAACAAGTCGCTTTTTAACTGTCCGTGAGAAATAATAATTGAGGGCAGCGTCAACGAGAAGGATAAGACACTTGGAAATTCTATCCCAGTACTTGTTAATATCAACGTACCTTTAAGTATCATGTTAGTAAATTTCTCATATCAGGGAATTGCAATTTACTCACAACTGGCTCACGGGAGGAATAACATGAGCTGGAATAAAAATGCAGAAAACTGCGATGTTGATAGCTGTGATAACGATGGCAGTCCCGTATTTGAGTTTCCATATAGTGTCTTGACGCTCTGCAATAACCGCAATTCGATTTATGATAATTTGCATAAGTAACTGGATTTCGAACACCCAGAATAACAATATAAAAAATAGAAGTGGTATACTGTGATGATAGCGATTTAGCTATTTGTTGCAACAACAACACATACTCGGGGAGTCATTAGCTGGTACTTACGTCGGACTGTCTCCGAAATGTCCATCGATCCAAAGGTAACCAACAATAAGAATAGCTAAATTTGCCACGATCTCTCCCCAAAGCATGTAAATCTATAAAGATATTATGTTAGAATATCGAGAGAAAAGAGCTGTTGGATATATGCGCCTCTGGACTGGCATTGTGCTGAATGGATATGGCGCATGGTTCGCAAATTGTGAAGCATTTACTCACATATGTGCTACGAAGGGGATTTCGATTTCGACGGGTTTGTTTCACAGCCTCCCAAACTGTCAATAAACCAAAGCCTATTGAGAAGCCGGCGGCCAAGGAGGAAACCTGAATATCGGATTTACTCGTCATGATTCTCAAGTTCACAGAATTATCTCTTCTTGGCGATGATAGTAGCGCAGGTCTTTGGACTCTGCAAGTTGACGCATGAACACGTCAACGAATGTTGCCGGCGGGGGTAGTGCTACAATTTTAATCAGTATCTCATGAAGGGAACTGGGGGAGATATAATGGTTACCAAGATATTTAATGTAACTTGACGGGCGGGCTAAACTTCATAAGTCCCGGGGCAATGGGCCGGCCAATGCTTAGAACGTTCCGCCACCTTGGGTTAGTGGCTCGCAATTTGACACTTTAGTTTAGGTAGCGGAATGATGCCGGGCATTACTATTATGTGACGGAACACATTTAGACCTGTTCAAGAGACTATTGTATTCCGAAGAGTTTAGTTGCCGATCGAGACCTTTATTTATTAATGGTTTTACACTTAGTGCAACTTTTTAGATATGGTACGATCAAAATACATAACTACATATACAAGAGTTAGATATACCTTAAGTATAAACTAGGAGCTAGGTAGAGTCGTAGATACTGTGGACTGCAAGGAACCCCTTATTTCCATTACTCTGTTTCAAGGTGAAATGTGAAATGTGAAAGTAGTTAGCTTAATCTGTTGAATCTGCTTAAAGATTGATTGGACATCAGACTCTCAGATCGCAACTAATGTCTTAGCTTTACGTAGCTAAAGCTATAAGAGACTAGCGGCCAGTTTTAGTAAGCGGTAAACTCGCCTGTGTCCAGACCTTTAAGCCGCGTAGTGTCGACACCGAATGGGACCTCTTTAGTTCATGGATTCATGCAAGCGATGAAAGTGGATTCTTAGCTGGATTCTTAGCTACAAGGATCTCAGATAATCGGGTATGCATAATCAAAATCGGACCACACAAATTTTTTCGAGGGTCAAAGAGAAAAAACCATGACAATTATAAGATACCTACCTAGGTATATATATTAAAGCTGTCCTTTACCCATTATTTAACATACCTTTCTCTTATTATTTCGTCACGATGAAATATGGCCGAAATTAATAAAGCAACACCCAAGTCTTTTTTGAATATATCAATATTTCGAAATTTAAGAACACAACTAAACTCAGCTTATCGCGTGACTTTTTACTGGTAAGTATCACGATGAGTTTCTAAAGACGAATCGAGACAAAAACTCCGTATAAGATCCACGCTCAGGCTTCAGCTTTCAGAACGCTGCCCGATGTTTATATAGAGACGACAATGTGTGTGGACCTATTTTACGTAAGGGTCTTGGTCCGGAAACTCCTAGCTTCCCTTAACCCGGCTCGGGGCGAATTCGGCGTCGACTAGGATAGCTAAGCGGATACCTAGACGCAGGTACAAATGCTCCTATTATTTCCTATTTGCGATTAAATAGTCTTCTATGGATCTTATCGAACAGGAACAAGATCTACTATTGAATTGAATATCATTAATATAAGATTATGTCAGGTTAAGATGATCTTGGTATTAATTGCCACGAATATATTGATATACCTGACCATAAACCATTTGAAGACATGAAGAAATGCCTGTGCTTGACATAACAAACAGTGGCAACAGAAATATGGCCGATCGGAGACCCACAACAATGACACTTGAGAGTCTGAGCTACATCTCGGCCCACGAATAGTGCATCTACAATCCACAGGTTTTCAATAGTCCATGTCGTATATACGATATTTATTATGCGTTTGCCATAATAGTGTCGATCATATAAATATTGAGGTCATGTGAAAGATGTTTAATGAAAGAGACTCAACGACTTAATGAACTTGGTAAGGAAAGTAAGTGGTTCACGAAATAAGAACACCTTGAAGTTATTTGACCAAGTGCGAACTTGACACATTTTACGGCTTTGTCACTTACAAAAATTCTTTACCACGTGGTTTGGTATGATTAATATGGCCGACAATGTAATAAGTGCTGTCATAAAAGTGGCAATATGTTTGAGAAAGTGTTGAAAGTAATATCTGTAACGACTTAAACTCTTTCAAGGTTGGACAGTTGCGCTCTTATTTGCTAGTTGAGTTGAACTTTAGTCTTTCGGGTACTTTCAAAAATGATTCGTTAACGCATACGTCCATATTAAATAAGTGGCAAGGCTAGCTAACCGAGAGATCCTTTTTATTCTAGTTGCCTCACGGTAGAGATGGCGAAATCTACCCCTTAGATTGTTATGATGTTTGTCGCGTACGATGATGTACTTGACTAGGAGGTAGTAACTTTCTTCTTATTTACATACCTAATCGACCGGTACATATCTATCATCCGAGCACCTTCAAAAACAAAACTAAAGGTTCTTCCTACGAGATATAAAATACGTCTATCGTAAAAGTATCATAGTTATAATTTCTGTAAGAACCTTCTTCGAAGATAGCTACTAGTTATATTTCTAGCGCTAAGGGGATTGAATGACTGTCATAGCTTGAAACGGTATTTCCCTATTGTTTCTTCCGGCAGGTGACTGTAATAAGGTCGCTTAAAATAAAGGACTCATTGATTACACTCTCTTCGAACCTTTGCGAAATATATTTCTAATAGAATATTAGGAGTAGAATACGTCTCTTCTGTCAACGTAACTTATGGTTTGAT